ACGTGGTGGTGGTGGACTGGGTGAGCCATTTGTCCAGCTGCCACATAAAAATTGTTTTAAATTAGTTGTTAATTTAACTACTTTGCCAGCTTTCGGCCAAGACCAGCTGGCAAAGCGGTTGCCATAGAAGTCGTTTAATGGCTCTTTTTTATGGTGTCACGAGGGAGGTTAGCTGCGAACTAGGATAATCATTATCCTGGCAAGCACTAAATGCGAAAGTATTTTATGGATACTTTAACGTAATACAAGGAAAACTTGAATTTAGTTGGTGTTTATAAACTGGAAGAAATATGGTTTGTGTATATATATTTTTGTTTTGAACTTTGAACTTTCCGAGAAAGAAATATTCCTTGAATGTCAAAAACTAGGAGTCTTATTTGATACTGTTTTATGCCGAATCGCAATCATTACAAATGTGTATCTTTGATGTTTGCCGAAACCTAGAATATTTGCCAAAGAAGCCATTCTATAATCCCATTGTATCTTGAAGCCGCACAGGTTTTGTGTGTGGGCTTATGGGGATTCTATTACCTTTGACTTTTGACTACAAATTGACTCCATTTGCCGAAATGAATGTCTCACATTTGATTTATAGACAAGCCACAGACGCACCCAAGCACTCGTCGTCAAATATTATCTGTGGTCTTCCGAGTGATTAAGCAATAAATATACAAGTTGACAGTAAATTATTAACGGGGAGGATGGCAATGGAGAAGGAAGGAGAATGGAGGCGCCCGGGAGTCCCTCGCCATGAAATTGACTTTGAGTCGTCTTCGGTCGGTTATCGTTATCCTTGCCCGGACGTTCTTGTCGAGGCCAGGCACGTAGTCCTGGTAAATATTTGAGCAAATATTAAAAGTAGAACAAATTCAAAACGTGACACATTTAAGAGCAGACCTTTCTCTAGCTAGCAGGCTTTTGCCCTTTAAATACATAATTTTAGGTCGAATGAGTGGCAATAACCTGAAATGCAATTCAAAAGTCATTTGGGTTTCGAAAGAAACGTTTGTGAGCGACACTTAAAGGCCGTGGGCCGTGGGCTGTGGAGGTCCCGGAGTCAGGGCCCGGGTCCTGTCTGTGTCTGGGCCTGAGTTGGGATAATAAACGTAAAACGCTTAGCACTAAAGACAAAAAGAACTGGCATACATCCTCTCATCCAGCCAAAGATGAGGCGGAAAAGGGCGGGGTCTGGGGCCTGGGACAGGGCAACAATGCCGCCAAATGAAACAGCAAACAGAAAAAATGAGCAGGCCGAGCGAGGAGTGGGAGGAAAACATGGCCATAACAATAAAAGCACAACAATAAGCAGTAACAACGAGGACAACGTTGCCGGGCTCTATGGCAGGAGGTGACACACACATCCACACTCTGAAACTGTTGCCAGTGCTGGCACAAAAATTGGGCACCCAAAAAAGGCCAAATCTTTGATATTTGAATGCTTTTATGGCACAAACAACAAAATTAAGTCATGAAAAGGCTATGATTGGCAATAAAATAGGTTCATATTTAAAAAAAACTTTTATTTAGAAAACGTTCTTTTAAAAATGAAAGTAAGAAACATCCTTTGTTGAAACATGGCCAAAAAGACAGAACCAGAAGAGGCCCAAGTATAGAGACAGACTCTACAGCGGATGTGGGTGGCGGCCATGGCGCTGCCAAGTGTAGCAGATTAACGGAATGTTTGTTAAATGGCGCACGGCTGTGTGGCCTGATGGCGGGGTAGGTGGTGAGGTGACGGGCAGGACTTTTGAAGGCGTGGCTGGGGAATGCCGTAATTCTTATAATTTGGCCTGACTATGTGGCATTGTGGGCTGATTCCCCGCCCGTAGACAAAGCGGCCACTAATAAGGCTGGCAGACTCACCGAAAACCACAGGACCTCCTCACTTTCCCCAGCTTTAGGGGCCGACTTCTCGTTGTGCTTTTAAAATTTTAAATTCTACAGCTTAGTCGACATTTTAGCTAATTAAAAAAAAAAAAGAAGTAAAACGAAGGCCAAGCCAAAGGACAGAAAATCGAATTGAAAAAGGCTGCTGAATATTTTCATTTGCTTAATGCTCCTATAAGCCGCTTAGGTGGTTATATGTATCTTGGCGAATGCGTACCCTCAGGAAGTATATGTATATATGTGTGGATGTGACAGTGATGGCCATTTGGGTAAGAATTTAAGGACAGATAAGAAAAATCAATTTATTTAAATCAATTTTTTAAGCTGGCAATTTTCTGTTTATTTAAAAGATAAGCCAATCGATGTTTAAGTTCGATTCGCTCACTTGACTTTAACACTGTTTCTATTTGAATTGAAACTTTGGTATTTATGGGAGAACGGCTGAATTCACTTGAATGAGTCCATTGTTGGGGCCTTTCCCGAGGCGTCGTCACAGCTTCAGGCAAAATTGAATCTGATGTGGTCCAAAATATATGTAGAGCGCAAGTGGAAATGGACAAAGGCATTTTTGGGCCTGTTGCAGGCATATTCGTACACAATTTCAATTGATTTGCCGTCAATTTCATTTGCTGAGCTTGAAGGCAGAAACATGACAGCCCCAAAATACGCCAGATATCTTTATGTGTTTGTATATATATACATACATATATGGAAGTACATAAAACAGACTTGCCCCAAGCATGATGAATTATTATTTCCTCTTTCGTGGCCCACTGGCCCACACCTTTTACGCATTACGCATACGCACCGTGTACTCAGAGCGAGGTTGCCTGTCCGTCCGTCCGTCTGTCCGTCTGTCTGTGTGTCCGTTTGTCCGTCGGCCTAACCACAATCATTCATCATGCTGCAGCAGGGCAACACATTGTTCTTGCTGTTCCGATTGTTGTTGTTTGGTTTGCTCGGCCAACCATTTTCCGCTCATTTTCCCAACCGCCTGTTTCCCAGCTTTGACATCGATACGGCGTTGATACACACGTTCATTGGGCGGACATTGTTAATGTATTCTATGTATATAGTTTTGACCTTTTTTTTTTGGCTTTAAGCAAACCCAGCCAGGAGCAATTATCCGTGCCTAGCCGGAAACCCAATCCCCAAATGTGCTAATCCATCAATACGACTCCACTGAAAGCTTCAACACTCTGGCTCAATTTTTGGTGGCATGAGCTGCAAATGGGTAGCATTTGTACGGGTGTCTGGAACGGAAGCTGCAACTTATAGCATGTATTCAATAACTTTGTTTCCCGAGGGAGCTCCCAGGAGGAAGAGCTTTCTTCTTTTTTACTTTTCAGTGAAGTCGATGTTGCAGATAGTGAGATGTATCTTTAAAGAACCAGTCTATCAAACAAATTAAATAATAATTACCTGCTTTAAAAAGAACGTCACTTGGAAACTTTGTCTTGACGTCTTCGTAGACGAGACAAATTTGCAGCCATTAGAGAAACTCAAATATAATTGCCAAGAAAAAGTATCCTCCGACAACTGTGAGGCCATTAAAAATCACTCCAAACTGCTTAGACGGCAAATTTTATTTCACATTTTTTGTGAGCGTCTCCCTCTCATTATTTGCACGGAAGTTGGACTCGAATTATGGCCAATGTATAATAGCCATTAAAACTTTTTGTTTGCCAGACAAGCTGGAGAGTGGAAACGAAACGGAAAAGTGAACAGGAAAATTGCAAAATGGGAAATGGAAAATGGAAAAGAAAAGCATGGAAAACCGAAATAAGCCAAGGTAGAGGAGATTGAGGTGGAATACGAGTGTTAGACCAAAACTTTTGCAATAATCATTTCGCTGCCTCAGTCGCTCAGTCAGTGACTGTCGTTGTCCTTGGCAGGACAATGCAGAACTACCCACATCCAGACACAGAAATCGCATTACTATGTTAAACAAAAACTACAAAAAAAAAAAATGAATGAGGGACAAAGCCAAGAGAACTGAGATAGAAAATTCAGCAGAGCGGAGCTCCGCAATTGCGAGACTGTCAATACAAAATGTAACAATTATGTCGTGAGGGGAGGTGGGGAGCTGGCCAACTGGCTGCCAATGACAATGGACACCGAACACCGAACACACAACGGCAACAGGCGACTGTCCACGTAGCTACAATGTCCTTCTGAATTATTGAGCATGCAACTTGTTGAAAATCCAAGGATATCGCCAAAGGAGATACTGAACGAGCTCGCCCCGTATCATTTTGGTATATAATAAGTACCAGCTAGTTGGAAGCTTAATTTACTCATTTCAACGAAATGTTAAAAATTTAGCAAGTTATTTGCCAAGGGTGGGGCGATGGCGAAAAAATATCCTAACTGAAAAGCTGAAAACAATTAAAAACTTTGAGGCGCTGACGAAGAATTCGCCGAGAAATGCGCCCGACTTTATGGCGTTTTAATTGTTCAGGGCGTGAAGAGTCCGAGAGGATGGTTAAACGAAATACCAAGTTTGGGGCTCTGGGAAAACAAATCTAGAAACTCGAAGCGTTGAAGCATGGCTGGCAAGTGGAGTGGGATACCTGGGGAAATCAATATTTCGTGGGGAAAGCTTTGATTGTTATTTCTTTTTATTTTCATGCAGCTCTCTCTATTTGAGATTTTTATTTTCGGCAATCAGTGGTATTTTCTTTTGGAATCTTGTATATTGAAATTCTCTAAAGTTGAAAGCTTCAAGCTTATTTTATTCCCACTAAACCATTGTCCTGGAGTGTATATTCGTTAATTTTATTGAATCATTCTTGACAACGGCTGGCAGCTGGCTTCAATGGCAGTCACGTCGATATTGTATGGCCAATTTGTTCGTGACTAACACTTTCATGGGCAGTTAGCCAGGAGCAGTGGACCAGCATAAATCAGCCAGAGTGGCCTCACTCAATCCATCAACGGTTTTGGCACTGAAATCAGTCATAAGGAATAAGCCACTGACGGATTTAGCAATCTGAACAATTGAAATCGGATTTTATGTGCTTTTGGGGGAATATTTGAAAATGGATGTGGTATTTGAAGCTTTCAAGATATAGTTTTAATGATTTTTTAAAATATTTATTTTTTAATTTCAGAAAATGTTTCAATAGAGATGGCCAAACTTTCACGACGTGCCTCGTCGTCTGCAGCAACGCCGTCAACAGCCTCCACAGCACACACTGCAACTACATCAGCAGGAACTTCAGCCAGGCCGAGTCATGCCACAGGCGACACGCATCAGCAGTCCAATCCTCCAGAACAGCAAGAGCAACTTCAAGCCGATCAAGAGCAAACGGTGCCACATCTGCAACGCATTGCCCGTCGTGCCACCAGCGGGGGCACTACCAGCAACAAAAACAATCAGAACAACAACAAAAGACTCCAATCAGCTTCTCTTATTGATACCAGCGCTGATGTCCCGCACGATAATCCAACGTCATCACCGACACCGACGACGCTATCGAGCCACAGCAGCAACACCAGCCACACTGCCGCACGCCACAACGAGAGCAGCGCCAAGCCCGCTGGCCCCACTCCCGCCCCCAATCTCGGCCATGTCACGGCAAAGCCCTACATGCCGCTCCTGCCGCCCGGCGAACGTAATCTGACGGAGGCCGAGAACCTAGCGGAGCGGGCCAGGATCCGGGCGGAGTTCTTTGCCACCTACGACGTAATGACGGGGGTGAGGATCGCCGCCACCTTGGGCGGATTCTTTGGGCTGATGGTCTTTCTCATCGTTTGGAAGAGTCGAAGCAGCAGCAACGAAACGATGAAGGTGCTCAAGGATCCCAAGATGGCGGCGGTAGCGGCTGTGTGTATGCAGGAGGAGGAGGAGCGGGAGATTCACGAGGCCATTGTGGCCACGGGGATGTCCATATACCCGGAAGAATACGATGCCCTCGTTTACCGTCGACAGCGGATGTTATCCCTGGGAAACGTGAGTGCTCCTCCGCTGCTCAATCGTGGATATCGTTGTGGTTCAGTTGGTAAGTTAAGCATTTAAGGATAGTCATTTAAAACATTATTAAATAATGCTGTTTTCCAGGAGGAGTGGGCGCTGGTCACCCAGTGGGCTATAGCTACTTGCTGGAGCCACCTCGCCGCTTCTCCTACTCGGCCATGTCACCGGGAGCAGGTGGGCCCGGTCATATTGGGCGCCGCAAGAGCGGGTCAGAGTCGTCTCGGATTTTTAGCAACTATCCCATGGGCGGCAGTTTTGGAACGGATGACTATTTCGTGGAGACGGACGACGAATTGGAGGCGGAGGAGTACATGCAGCGAGATGCCCGGGAAGAAACGGATAATCAACACCAGCGCACGGACTCCACGAGAAGCAAGCAGGGATTTCTGTCCGTACCGATAGCGGTGAGTTGGAGAGGATACCCTATAAAAGTTTCCATATTAAAAACTTTTTCCAGGGCCACGATTCCCGGCGGAGCAGTGCCATGACCTGTTGCAGCACAGACAGCTCCTACCTGGAGCGGCGCACCTCCGCCTACATGGGCGGCTGTATGGGAAACCTGCCTCCGGCATTGGACCGCAAAATGTCTACAGCTTCGCGAACTTCGAGCATTGAGAACTGGGACTATTACTATCCGGATATCCAAGTGATCCAGCCCACGCCAAAGGCTTCGCCCTGTCCCTCGGAACGGAGTATTCACGAATCGACCGGCACAGTAGCCGGAGCAGGATCTCGAGGTTCCAATCTGTGTGCGCCAAACATTAAGCGGAAGCATAGCATCGTGTCTTACGATCCGGACAGTGCACAGGCAGGCCGGAAGCAGCAGATCCACTCGATCAGTGCCGATACCGTGGACGTTTATCCCTACAACCAGGAGAGCACCGTGGACCTGGCACTGCCGTTGCCCAAGCCGGTGCAGTCAGCACCGCCCACTAGTGTCCACCAGGCGTTTCACTTCTGCGACTCGCCCTCCGAGGAGCTGCGACTGGGTGTGCGCCGGAAGCTGACGCTGGTGGAGCTGCAGCGAAATGAGAGCAATAACAATAGCTTTCCGTACACGGCGACGGCAGCGATTCCGACAGCTGTACCCGCAGTTCCGGGCACCGCTCCCAATTCGAGCAGCCTCAGTGTGGACAGCCCGCCGGTAAGTCTGGAGCGTCTTAACGGTGGCAACGGAAGCGGAGGTAGCGGCAGCCTGAGCACCGTATCCGCGTCCAATAAGCTGCCAGCGGGGATCGTCGGAAACAACAATCCCGAGAAGCGAGCGCCACTGGCCTCACTAAGTTCCTTTAAGATCTCTTCGCTGGAGTGCCCCGACTTGGAGATGCGCTCCCTTGACGAGGACTCGGTTTTTGGGGTGGAGAGCCCTGCGGACACGGACGACGACATGCAGCAGCTGAGCAGCGACAGCGAGGAGCAAGAGGCGGCCGCCCAGGCTCAGGCACAAGCCCAGGCGGCGGCTCAATCGCAATTACAGAGCTCTTCAATCCGGATTAGTGGCGATAGTAAGCCCAGTCCTATTCCCTTGGCCATGCCACTGAAACGCCTCAGTCTAAGTTCAGTGCCATCGACAGGTATGACTGGTTCGGGTGGTGGTGCCCGACCCCGGAGGCCTCTGCTCCAAAGACACCGCACCATTAGCGCCACCTCCAGCGATCGTGTGGCACTCATCGCCCAGCCTCTGCCGCTGCAACAGTTCCACATGGGCCTGCCCATCCAGTCGGAGGTGCCGCCGCTAGAAACGCATTTTGGTGCCGTCATCAGTCAGAGTCCGCCGAGGAGGGGACCGCTGCTGCAACAGTACAGTGATCCGCAAACGACGACGACAACCACAACGACTACCACGACGGAGGACGACACCTGCTCCACGCTCAACACAGAGCTGGGATTGGCGGACGGGTCAGGAGCAGGTGGAGTAGGTGGCCCCGGCGGGGGAGGCGGAGAGTCTGCCACGCACACACAGTACAGCAGCCTGAATACGGTCATCAGCCTGGGCAGATCAACGCCCAGTCCCGTTCCTCTAACCATCGCCACCCGGATGGACAATAACGCCACCACATCGCAAACCAGTCAGCAGCCAGCTCAACTGCCAACGAACGCCTTCCGCCTGGTGCACGATCCCTGTCCCTCGTCCGTCTCCGACTCGGTGATAGCCACCCGGCATCAGAGCATCTGCATGCCGGCCTCCCTCAAGGACCTGATCCTGCGAAAGGCCCCTCCCACTTCTTCCCAGCCCAGCAGTGGGATCAGCCGAAGTGCCACCAATCTGAGCTGTGAGGGCGGAGGCGCCAGTGCCCCAACTACAACGACTGCCACGCCAGCCGTCATGCTAGAGCTTCCTCTGATCCGGCTGCCCAACGATGACGAGGAAGATGAAAGGGATAAGGTGGTGGCGCGAGATAGGCAACGGGAACGTGATCGGGAGAGTGCAGATGCCAGTGGAGAGAAGCGCGATCCCAGCCTGCCCGGCACCTCCAGGAAATGGTCCAAGGAGACACTGTTCTAGCCCAGTTGGTTTCCACTGCTGCAACGAGGGCAGTTCCCTGGGTCGGGCCATTATATAAGAGCTTAGAAATTGACTTTGTACGCATGGTAATGGGAACTACAGTGAAAACTCCGTAGTCTAGCCTTCTTACTAACTCGGCCTTAACTAAATCTAAAAGATAAATCTTCAGGGTACTCATGACATCTATCTTCCATTTCCAATCTAGGTCATAAAAAGGGCATCTCTCTACAAACTTTTCTTTATGCTTCCGTGAAAGCTTTTCTCTAAAGGATTCTTTAAATAATCCAACTTTTCAGCCTTCAGTTGTCAAGTAATAAAAAAATTAATATAAACCTCTACTTCTTTAGGGAGTTTTCACTGTATTTTGACCGCATGCTCTGGCAACGAACTTCCTGGGTTTGCTCGAGACCTGTTACTATGGAACGCAAGTATTAATGGGTATTTAGGCATAGCATAGGTGGATTATATTAAGCGCATTTAGTCAAAACCTAAGTATAGTTGGCAGTGGATTAAGTTTAGAGAGTTAAAGTAGAACAACGCCTACTAAAATATATGTATAGAAGAATCGAATGAACAAGAAAAGAACAACAACGTATTCGTACTTAGAGACTGTTGTCTATTATTGTTAATAGAACTCTAAAAGTTAAGTAGTGATACTCGGATTTATTTTTCACAAGAACTCTTTGGAAGTTGCAAGACACCAGCAAGTTCTAGTACTGGAGCTGGAGCAGGACTCTGCTGCAGTTCGATCAGGATTACCATCTCCCAAGGCATCTCCGAGTCCAACTTGAACCCCATCCTTGCTCTCCCTACTATAAAATGGAAACTCTTCTAGTGTCTTAAACAGCAGCCAAATACTTAAAGTATTGTAATTTAGAGATTTTATAGAATGCACAACAACAAGATCAACTTTGAAGTGATCGTATCGAGGTATCCTTACAACTGAAGTACTCTGACAGAAGACCTTAAGGATCCTCCGCGCCGAGGTCCATCCGAAGATGCCTAAAAGTCTTTACGCATAGCTAGACAAAAGTCGCAGATTTTCTAGGGCAACTCTCACACTTCCCGCTCCTGCCTATTCGAACAAGAATTGTTGAAAACAAAATACATAGAGTTGTTGTCAGAACATAGAGTTACAAAACAATTATTAAATTAAACAAAGGAAAGCCAGAAAAACGAGTGGAGTATGTATGTAAACTATTTCCTAACTCATCCCACCTACGCATCTCTATTTTTCTATGAAAAGCTAAGCCAAGAAAAGGATTACATACGGAATGGAAAAGAATAAATCAAATAGAAGTATTCGAATCAAAATACACCATTAGATGACTAAAGCAAAGATAATACATAATATTAGAGCTGCATTTTAAGGTACCCCGGCCCCCAGAGACTTTCTCACCTGCCTGAGCCTCAGTCTGAGCCTGATTTGTACCTATCCTATGCATAAATACATATATATTTATATGCCTCATCCCCGAAACACATGTATAAATCGAGACCCATTTGAATATTTTTTAATACTAGTAAGTATTTTGTACGACAAATGGCGCCAATCGAAACTGGTAATGGGATATCAAAAATGCAAAGCAAGGGGTGGACAAGACCCCAAAATACAAAAACATTTCATTGTTGATTATATGCTGAAGAACATAGGGGTAACAGAGTAACATAAAATTCGAAAAAAATATTGTAATTCTAGCGTTGATTTGTTTCCAAACAAAAGCAAAAATATACATATAAAACTAATAACGTAGCTAAATATACATGCATATATATATTTAAAGAAACCGAATGAGCAAAACTAACTTGTATAAGTCTAAAGAGTAGCGGAACCAATTGTTAAACCTAAGCATAATAAATCTGTAATAAAAACGAGCTGTTGTACTGAATGAACAATAACAATGTTGAAGATTTGGACATCGTAGCGTACTCAGATTATGAACTTTGAATGGTAGACCATTTTTACTATCCCCTTGAACCAAACTCCTTTCGTTGAGACCTCTTCTTTTATACTTTTGTACTCTAGCGGCGACTTCCTAGACTTTTCAGTCGATTTCCGAAAAAAATGTCCTTATTTTTACCTTTAGCTAAACATAAATTGGACACGAAACCGAAAGCAATTCAAAAATGTTACAAGCCAGATACTATTGCTCCCAAAAAAAACAGATTGGGAGTAAGAGATCAATGGCAGAATTATTAAAGCGCAAGATTACTTTAAAGAACGGATTAAAAATTTTTAAAAAATATGAGCTATTAAAGAACAAACTTAGTTAAATGTTATATATATATATAAAAAGAAAAACAAAGAAATTGATGTACATGTTAGCGATATTAATGAGAAATGTGAAAAGTGAAAAATAAACCAGAGGAAAATACATAAAAACGTTGGTCAGACACAGTCGTTTTTATTTTGTAATTCTAATGGGATTGGAAATATTACACTAAAATCATGGACCTTGTTGAGATGACGGCTTAGTATCTGTACTTGGTGGAGTAGTCTTTGGGGGAAACAACCAGACCCCTGCCTTTGCGGGCGCCTCGATACACTGTCTCCACAATATCGATCATCTCCTGCTTGTCTTCCAGTGGCCAGTTGATCTTGTTATTGTTGCCAGTGCCCAAATCGATCATGATGTGCTTGTTGCGGAAGAAGAACATAACCGTGCAGGGATCGTATAACTCGTACATCTTGTTGAAGTCGGGCACCTCTGTGATGTCCACCAGGTAGATGACCGCGAAATTCTTTACTTTCTCGGCTATGCTGTACATCACCTCGTCCATTTTCATGCAGGCGGGGTCCCAATCATGACCAAATCGGATAACCTGGAGAAGAATGAGTAGTACGGTAGGAGTAGTAGGCTTTGTAGACCAAGGGTGCTCCGCTAGGAAAGCGCTTGTACCGGAACTTACCACGACACGGTCCTCCTCGGATAGAATGGCCTGGTCCACTTGCCAGCCATTGTGTAAATGTGGGAGCATATACGACATCTTGGTGAGTTATTTTATTTATAGCTTAATAAAAAGAATCTATTTTATTGGCGAGAAATTCGCGTATTTGATGATAAACAAACGCAGCTGAATGTTAAAAATATACATTCCACACAATCCACACTAAATGTGAAGTGGCAACGCTCTTTAAAAAAAGTGTGACCAGCCGAGTTTTTTTTTTAACCAGGCGCGAAATTTAAAACACATTTATAATTAATTTAATATTATATTTTGGTTTTTTATTTGAGTTTTAGTAGCATCCCTCATCAGTTCAAGTATTTCTGCTTAAAGCTATCAATGTGCTCCAGCACCCTCACCGTCATGTCATTAATGTACTCATCCCTGCCCTGATCCGTAGTAAACGGATCCGGAGCATCTCGCCGCGTGACGTAGTGATTGGGAAGGTTCACCTTGTGTCGGCCAATGGACTTGATGATAAGCCACAGGATGTAGAAACTGAACCACACGGTGAAGTACAGTGGGATGTACCAGAGCTTTCTACCGATGTAGAAATAACTGTACTTCTTCACACGCGGCTCTGGCGGCGGTGGTGGCGGTGGAGGTGGTTCAGTTGGTGGAGGCGGTGGTGGAGGTGGTGGTGGAGGAGGGGGTGGAGGAGGCGGAGGGTGGTGCACATGGTGATGATGATGTGGGTGGTCATCATAGTACACATCAGGATAGGTGTCATCCGGATAGGACGGCTGGTAGTCAAAGTGACCCGGATAATGATCGTGGTGGTGATCATGGACATGGTCATGGTCTGGAATGTGGTCATGATCATGATCGTGACCGTGATCGTGATCTTCTGGCTTGGGAGCCGCTGACTCTGGATGGGATTCTAGCCAACCGGGTGGTGGTGTGGCATATTCCATATTGGGATCGTATTTGTGATCGTCTTCCCCGTGAGAGCCATCGTTATGTAACGCTGGAAGGGATGAATCGTCTCCTCCCCCATCCATATCGCCACCGCCAGCTGGTGCACCCATATCGCCCATATCATCTGCGGGGGCGCCACCTCCACCAGCATCCTTGCCATCCTGATCCTTCGATGGCAAATTGTCCATTGCACTGGCTGGCAAGACTCCAATGGTGTCATCATTTCCAGGATCATCATCGGGTGTCGGGGATTGACTCTGCGAGCTAGCAGCCGCATCCTTGTCTCCATTTGATGCAGAGATGGGTCCTGGATACCTGTAACCCCCAGGTGAGGTCATGGAAGGACCTGGATAAACGTAGCCAGTGCTCTTCAATCCACCAGATGGGGGGGCTACATAGCTAGTCACTGTGTCCGAGGGCAAGGCTGCCTTTGGATCCTGCGAAGGCGAAGGATATCTGGTATTGAGGGGCGGAAACGAATAGGCATCCGAGGGCGCGACATAGGTGTTTACAGCACTCGATCCAGAGGCCACCTTGCTATCCTGGCCGTGGGAATGATCGTGCGAGTGATCATGGGAGTGATCGTGGGAATGGTCGTGGGAGTGTTGGTTTTTGAACACATTGGCGGCTGTTGCTTCTCCGGGAGTGAAGCGGTCACTGAATCCTGTAAAAGGACAATATTAATTTGCATTAATTTAGAAAGAAAATTAATTTTAATTTAAATATAAATTATGAAAATGGAAAAACTAAAGCTGTAGTTTTGATACAATGACTTAATGATACCTTTATTATAGCTGGGCCTTTGAGCCGTTTTGCGAGATGGATTTCGTGATGATGAGGACGAGTAGTAGGATGGTCTACCTTGTGGATAAATACGTGTTTGTGAGGGTCGTTTGTTGTACGGCTGAGGACTTCCTCCACGTAGTAATGGTGTTATCAACTGTCCGAAAGGATAGGCTGTGCGGTAATCCACGGCACGTCCAGTGGAGGCACCCTCAACGATTGGCTCAGGCGCAGGATCACTTGGCTTTTCGGTCTCAGCCAGAGGAGTCACAAAAAAGGTGAATCTGTGGTGCTAATAGCTGCCTCAGGTTGATGGTTGTAGGGAATGGGTGGGAGAGAGGTCGTCGACACCGTCGTTGTAGGGATTTCAGTGGTGGATACCACATTTTCGCTGGAGTTAAAACTGTATGGGAAAGGACATTAGGTCAGGAATTCCAATCCACGATAGTTCCCTCTGTAACTTACGTCCTGGGGAATATCAGATCCGTATTTAAAGCTTTAAATATCCGGGGTCCCTGATCCGTGTTAGGATCAGTGCTACCGCTGACCAGCACTTGGGAGTATGCATTGATTTGGACGGTGCCAAGAAGGAGTTCGAGAAACACCACGAGCGCCCAGTAAGGGCCCTTTAACCGCATCATTTAAAATTTTTCCTAAATCTGTATAGTATCCTTTATTTTTGCACTATCACTAAGTATCCTTTTTGGGGCTACACTCTCGTCATATTCACTGGAGCCCGGGGAAAACGCTTCCGTACCGCGTCGCGCGTAAATCTCGAATACAACGGAGAACTGAACGGCGTTTGGTTTTATTCGACCCGTCCAGTCAGTTCGTGATTTCGTTTTTTCATGACCCAGATTCCAGGCAGAAGGTGCTACTAGAAGTGATCTATATACGGATGATCCGTACGGGCACAACAGCACTTTCATTTCGTCGACCCAGCAGGTGCTAATCAATTGTTACTCCACATTTCTGATAGCATCTTCCGTTATATGCTCCCGCCAGTCTTTCATGTATTTACCAAGAGATTGGAGTGCAGCTCCAACTCTAATCCGTGGATATGAATACATGGACTGCCTCTGCGGTTTTATATAGTGGCGTGTGCCTCCACTTTTACAAAAAATTAGTATTCTTTTTAGTCTTACAGGGTCCTTGAAACTTAATCAATTACTTCTTTAATTACAGGCTTAAACTTATTTCGTTTTTTTTTTAAATTAATAAGCATTTTTATCTTTAAAATCATCTTTAAAAAACCATTTTGCTTGAAAATTTTTGAAAAATATATACAAAGCCAAAAGCTTATCCCCATAATTTCCCCAAGTTTCGAACGATCTTCCCATCGATTCAGGACTATTATACTTACAGGCTATTATTATTACTATTATAAAGCCCCATTCGACTTATTTTATATATTTCATAAAATTTTCTTTATTTATTCTTTTAATCAAATGAATGAAGATAAACTCTAAGAATTTCAACCCGCGCAAACAGTTCCTCTTTGGCGCTCAAAGGTGATAATTAAAGGCTATCTCAACCGGCACATGTTGAGATAGATCTACGATCCGCTTTTGAATATATTCCATGTGTAACCCAAATGGAATGATTTCTAGTCCGAACTAAAGACAATAATATTTGTCAACTTCCTTGCCATGATCGAGTGATAAGCGTTGGATGTGGGTCAGTAACTGAGGCACTTGATGCTGCAGCGTGCCCCTCCGGATTAGCACCTATTCCGGCGTGCTATGTACTAGGTTGATCCCGCTTGTTAACATCTCAATCCAGTTCTGAGCACTGCCACTTTCCCAAACGGACCATTCAAAATTCCAGCAACTTTTACTTGTTTAAATAGGGATTTTCATCTTTACCATACAGATATTTCATACAATGATTGCAAGTCTTATAAATGTTAGTACACAAAGTTATATCTTATTGAAACAAGGAACACGAACCAACCAACCTTTAGAAACACAATAACAAATATATGGGTTTATGTTTTCTAAATAAAAGGGGTGTTGCAATTTAAAATAAACAAGTACACGTGGAAGTACAAATGGCTAAAAGTACGGGCCGAACCTAAAAACAAGTCAAAATGTTTACAGGCAGTCAGAAAAGCAGCCTCAGTAAAAGACCTTAGTGGTTAGTCAAAAATCGTAAAAGTAATATGTAAGAAGCGTGTAAGGTGAGTTGTGGTGTTATATACAGCCTTGGCACTAAGTACGTGTGAAACGCTGGCGTCTTTTATGTTTGGTAAATCATTCTTAGAAGGGCGAGTTCATTCCCAATTTGGTGCCAAAATCGAGACGCGCCCGCCGCTGATAGCGCGCATTGACCCTAGAAAATAGAACAGATCGGAGGTAAGAAGGTAAGTCTTAAAATTATGAAAATACCCACTTATTCTCCTGGAACTTGGCCAGTTCACTGGCAATCATACTCAGAAGACTGCCGCCAAATAGAACTAACATGGCCACCCACAGCTTGGGCAGCTGTTCCTGTAGAAAGTCATCCAAAACCACTTGCAAAGTGCAGATGACCCCATGGAAAGCGAGCAACACCAAGCAGGTGATGGCCCAGATACGATTTGTAAACGGATTGCGCTGCCAGAGCGCGTAATCGCGATGCACGAATGTCACAGAAATAACAACTAAAAAAATATTAGGAAGTTATTAATTATAAATTATTACAAAAACAAACCACTTACCAAAGTGCAGTAGGATGGCCAGCAATGCAAAGCATCGGGATAGGTAAAGGAATTGATAAAAATGGGCATCGTCCTTGGTATCAAATTCAGGTTCTTCGGAATCTAGAATGGGGCTAGGTTCAGGGTCAAGATCAGACTGGGATAAAATAATCCAATAGGAAACAATCTGAAATTATGGCATATTTAAATATTACTTTTTTTGAGATAAAAGTCCATCCCACTTACGACTGAAGCCACTAAAACGATGAACTTGCAGCCATAGCACCACATGACGAAAGCAAAGGCTCGCGAATCATAGTCTGTTTGCTTTTTGCTGGTAGCTCGGTTCATGATCTTCGGATCTACATCGATGTGGGCAAGGGAGATGGCGATAAGTGGCACTGGCACACACATCAGGTAGATAACTAGCAGCGGGGGCAGGAGTGGCGGCAGCGAGAGGCACGCGCACAAAACGTTCAGAATGGAGATGGAGCCGGCACAGCAGGCCCAATACTGGATGCAGTTCCACAGGCCCAGCGAGAAGCGGCGTGACAGCTCGATTATGGCCACCAGCGAAAGTGGGTCGTCGCGGCAGACAGCAATGGAGCAGGGCAGAGAATTGAGCAGACGACTGAGATAGAGTGGCGATATGGTATGGGCCGGTGTCTGCATTGCGCATCCCTGTAGGCCCCCTTCCAGCAGCTCTTCGTCATCGGCGGCGGCCTTTCCCGACTTTCCTGCCTGACGTTGGCGCTGCCACATCAACTTATTGTGCTGAATATTGGCCTCCGTATAGGCGTCCACATCCTGGCACACCTGCGGATACAAAGGCTCTACGGCGATACTACAGTCTGCCTGCAGAAAGATGTCTGCATTCGCGTTGCTCGCCGAGCTTCCCAAGCAAACAACTATCTCGCCGTAGGACTGCATAATGTCCAACATTTGGCGTGTGGCCTCCGCCGAGCAGTCCGTAAAAAGAGACACCTGCAACGGCACGTTGTCCACTTGTTCCAGATGCGGTCTTATGTTCTCAATGCCACGAGGAAGCTTTGCTCGGTTAGACATGTCAAAGTTAATTGGAGCACTTTGATCCGTGCTTTCCGTCAAGGTGCTTAAGGAACGGCAGTTCTCATCCATGGCAGAGTCCAATGAATGGCGCTGCTTGTGCTTACTGGGGTCCAACTCTCCATCCAATTCAGTAACTCCAGGCAGTTCGTCCTGAGCGGAGTCATTGCTGTTTGGTGATGGGATTTCCTCATCGGCAAGAGCTGCATTCAGGGGATTGCACTCATCCGGGTTGGATATGGCGCCTGGAGCCGAGGAGCTTAGAGTTTTCGAGGACTCCAGATTGGTGGGCAGTCCCAGGAGATAACTTGTCTCTGGGCCGTCACCTACAATTTCAGGGTTTTTAGTTGCGGATGTATCTACGAAATCGGATGCGGATTCTGATGCGGGTGCAGGGGACGATATGTACATGGCGCTGGTGGGGTGATGGCTTTTCTCATGGGTATCATTTGTGGTGATGGTGACTTGGTGGCTTGGTTTACCGATTTGTTCCGGCAACTCCTTCGACTTGGCAGTGCTTCTATCCTTTTCCTTCTCGCCCGGCTCAGGATCTGGCTCGCTGAGCAGCGAAATATGACAGTTCCAGCCAGACTCGAGACCCATCTTCTCAGAAAAGACGCGGGATCGAAGCTCGTTTTCCTTACTAAAGTGTACGAACCGGATGCAGGCTCGTTCTAGACGTTCCACCAGCCTGACTATGTCGTTCTGTGCCTGGTACTGCATGGTCACCATGCCGATAAACACCTGGTGGCACTGCATCTCAAAGCAGCCCTCAACGTCGTTGCAGTCCTCGTCTTTGCTCTCAGAGAACAACAGTGAGTCCGTGCTGATGCTGTGGCTGAGTTTTACGTGGTGGCCCCCCTGGAAGTCGCAGTGCGTCTTGTCCACATGCTGCATGCGCAGCTTCGACTCTGGAGGAAGCTCCAGATACAGGCAGTCACCTCCGGTTTGCTGGGGTCCACTCAAAGCTCCATGAATTCCATGCCTAAGCGGGCGATAGGCAAAGGCCGTGCAGTAAGAGGTTAAAGCGCTGCGCTGATAAAAGTCCAGAGCCCGTTTGCGATCCTGAGGAGAAAGTGGACGCAAGTCCTTGCCGTCCCAGAAGTCGTCGCAGCAGTCCAGAATAATGTCTGCCGTTCCTTGAGTAAAAAGGGACAGGTATCCGCCGGGGTTCTCCTTCATCACTACCGACAAGGAATGCGGAAATGGTACCTTTACCTTGGAGGACAGCTGCAACTGCCGGGCGAAGCGAATGTCTCTTCGAACAACATCCGGTTGCTGTGGAGAATCATGGCATTCATTTTCAAAGAAATATTTATGGTAAAGCTTTATTCAACTTACCAAGTGGCGGTAACTGGCTAGTTGGCCCTCCAGTGCGAACCGATCGGTGGCATGGTCGGTGAAACCAATCTGCTTGGCCAGCTCGCAGAGGCAGCGTCTGTGTTCCAAACATGTAATACCGATTAGAACTGGTTCCAACTAGCGCTGGATGCGACGACGGTGCGTAAGCATGCAAGCAAGCGTGGTGGTGGGTCAAGGGTGAGCGGATGGGTTGGGGACGGGAGTCGGGTGGCTATATTTAAGCGTTCTTGATCGTTTGCTACTGAAAATAGCATGCCAATGGGGGCCAAATGGAGCGGGACGGAGGGGCAACAACGGGAATAGATTTTCAAGTACGAATAAAAATTATATAGTGACAATAATAATAAATACAAAATTACATGTTAATTTATAGTACTGGAGATGGTGTATGGAAAATTATTGAGGCTGAACGATTAGAAAAAATGGCAAATTACTGGAAAACAATAATACGTTTTTCTTACGCTCAGAATTTTCAAAACTTTACCAATCGCTTGTGTCTGTTTTGTATTGTGTGGGGAATCAAACTGTCCAATTGGATACAAAAATCAAAAAATACCCAAAGCTAGGACTAATTTGTTTCGGGCTGGCTTTGGATGGTATTCAATACCGATTGTTGGAGAAAATAATTAGACTATATAAGATATACTGGACCGAATTAAACGGCCTATTATCTGATTGGGTTAGACAGAAACTAACGATGAGTATGGCAATGAACTACGTACCCATGCAAAAAGCTTTTACTCGACTCAATGATTGCATACGCATACCGATTTGTTACGGGCACCAGGTCTTTGTCGAGCATAGCCACGGCAGTAACATGGCCACAGAACTGGGCATAATGCTCATGGGTAAGAGGCGAACAGGTGTTCAAGAGGATGGCCAGTCCTGAAATGAAACAATTATTTGATTTTCGAATCGTGTCTCAATTTAATGCGTATGCGATAGTCACCCAATGGCTTCAGGGACTTGATGTGGGCCTTCCATTCGTGGTCGTCGAACTCCAGCCTAAATGGGCAGTGCTGGTCGTGCGTCAAGTCCAGAACCTCGGCCACTATGCCCCGCTCCTGGTGATCCTCGTCTACGACTGGGCCATCGTCACTCTCGCTCTGCGTCGATGAATCACTGCCCGCTCCGTCCTCTTGGGGCTCCTCGTCCGTGTTGTGCAGGAAGAAAACCTTTTCGGCTGTGGGATTTGGCCACGACAGGATGCCCTTCTTGTCGACGCAGCACAGAGCCGAAATGGAGCCCAACACTTGGACCAGGTTGGCCGAACGGGGCAGCAATTCGCTGTCTCCTTTCCACATTTGTAGCCAAATCCGGAATACATTGGATCGCAACATTGATATGTTGTGGTAGTCATACGAAGGCGTGTCCAGGTCTTCTTCGAATGATTTGCTCGTACTCTTCTCGACGGCTGCCTGCGGCGTCTTTAGAAAGCACTGCAGCCGGGCAATGCCCCATAGGTTCATTGATATCCACATGAGAGGAAAAATCAGAGGTAGTAATGGTATAATCGCCGACGCCGGGGATTCGATGAGTAAATATCGCCAATTGTGCTTTTCGTCAGACAGTCCATAACCATGTAGGCGCAGTAGACCCGATACTAATGTAATGGTCAGGGCACTAATGAAGCCCCACTGCTGTATGTATTTGGTCACCAGCTGAAACCATGATCGAAGATAAGAAGGAATTCACATTTACCCAGAATATCGTCTTACCAGATAGCGTTGCTGATTATAGATGGTAGGCGGGCGCTTTAGGGAGTTCTTCAGGCAAACGATGAGGTTGTCCAGGTAGGGAGTGCTCTCTAAACAGCAAACCAGATCAGGTAACGGCGGTCGAGCTACTGGCTTCACTGGAGGATCGCCCTGTGGAGCGGCTCCGTAAATTTCGTTAGTCTGAAAGAACCGATTTGTCTCCAGTTCGTGGCAGGGTCCGGGCGAGATGTGGCCTGGCCGCAGAACGATGAAATCCCCTCTCACAAGTAGAGCCCACGGAAGATTGACGACAACTCCATCCCGGTAAGTCCACTGCAGAGATACACACGGCGACATGGGATTGCTTAAATGCGGATAGTTAGCTGGTTTCCAGTCGTCGCTGAAATGTTGCTCCGCCAACCGGATTTCTGCCAGGGCATGTCGAGTCTTTCGAAAAATCTCTGTGCGTCGTAAATTATGCTCCCGGACCACCACAAAAAGATCAAGAATCAGGATAGCCAGGAGGCACAGTGCGGACCACAACATGCCCGTGCTCAGAAGCGCTCCACTGGCCAGGAGGCTGGTTCCGACAGACAACCAGCCCAGCGGACTGTCATAGCGCTTCACAAAAGCCGCGCGAAACTTGCGATAGGAGCTGCTTAGAGAAAGACTATTCTGTTATCAATAGATACGACTAGATAGCAGGAATCCTACCTCTCCGCTCCACCCAGTCGCTCGTGCTCCAGCAGCACCCGTTCAATCTCCTCGTGCAGACGCCGCAACGCCACTTTGGTGGTGAGGCCGTGCTGCGGCTTGTCCTGCCCCTCTGCCGATTGCCTCGCTGCCATTTTACGTCCACTTTTCCTCGACGTGCTGCTGCGGCTGCAGTTTAAGTAATCGCGGCCACCTACAGCATACTTCCTCGGACTTTACTTTGTTTCGATTTTGGATTCGCCGATCAACTGTTCCATACAATGTCACAGGCAGTACGGTCACACTGGCACGGTGCTGGCATACCTAGATACAGATATATCCCGCTAGATACGCGGTATCTTTGAAACCGTGACTTTCTATTAATGCAATTCCTTCCATAATAGATTGTTTTTCTTATTCTATGCTTTATTCATATTTTTTCAGAATAGTATGCGGAGAAAGGTACATACATTAGAGCTTTGATCATTTCTAAAACAAGTTTCAAATATTATCCAACAACAGAGACGACATCATATATTTTCTAGCTCAGTAAAAATTCAGGAACAGGAAAGTAGACTACAAATAAGAGCCATAAGATATCCTCCTAATAATCTATATTTTCGAAATTAATTTTAAAAATCCTTGGTTAACTTAACAGAATGACTTCCAGCGGTGATGATATTCCAACTTTTAAGTGTGTGATCATTGGAGACGGCGCAACTGGCAAAACGACCTTTGTAAAGCGACATGTTTCTGGAGGATATGGAAGGCAGTACGTCGCCACTTTGGGCGTCGAAGTTCATCCCCTCCGATTTAACACTTCGCGCGGCCAGATCCAATTCAACGTCTGGGACACTGCCGGACAAGAGATGTTGGGTGGACTTCGGGATGGATACTACGTACAGGCACAATGTGCTATAATAATGTTCGATTTGACATCCCGTATCACCTATAAGAACATGACAAACTGGTACAGGGATTTGGTGCGTGTGTGCGGTAGAATACCAATTGTCCTATGCGGGAATAAAGTAGATATTAGGGATCGAAAAGTAAAGCCGCAAGATATAAAATTCCATCAGAAAAATAATCTGCAGTATTACGAAATTTCCGCCAAGTCGAACTATAACTTTGAGAAGCCTTTTCTCTGGCTGGCTCGTGAGCTATTTGGGGATCCCCAGTTGAAGTTGGTAGAGATGCCAGCACTTCTACCTCCCGAAGTCCACATGGATGCGGATTGGCAGGCTCAAGTAGAGCTGGAATTGGAAGAAGCCATGACTACTAAAATTCCCGACGATGATGAGGGCTTGTGAGCTCCCTAGCCTGGATGTTTAAATATTTTTGTTTTAAATTTCTGTTAAAAATTCACTATCTCTCAATTCCGGTTATTGTCAGGAAAACCTGATCTTGGAAATAAATTTTATGCCTTGGAAATGAAGACTAATTATTAATCCGTAAACCAAAAAGCTCATTAAAAAAATAACTTCTATTAAATTGCATTTCTTTCTTCGGACCTAGATGGATGGGAAAAAATTAATTTATTCTCTACAGAGTCAATACAGATTTATTTTTTGTCATTGTTGCAAAAAATTGTTTATAATTTTCCATTTAAGATTATTTACGCAATCTAGGTTTGCGTAGGAAATACATTGGCACTGAAGATGTATCGAAGATCGTGCTGAGAAGCTGGACGTCGACAAATCGGACACTCGGAGGCTCGCATCAAGGCTGCCCTAATGCAAGAATCTCCGTATAGATGACCACAGGCTAGAGAAACGACGCGATGGTCACCACTCTCCTCCCAGGTCGACAGGCATATGGAGCAAGTGATACTTTCCTGGTTTTGTGCTTCCCGACTCTGCAACCTTTCCACCTCTTGGAGGTGCGCTCGCTCACGGTTGTTAAGCATTTCTTCCCGTTGGGACGTTTGGCTCTGGGATTCGTTGGCAATCAACTGCAACGAGCTGATTTGTTCCTCGAGCATATTCACGGTGATGTTGTGGTTCTCCTCCTGCTCCTCCATTTGTGAGGTCAACTGATCGATGCGCTGCTCGATTATCATCTGCAGGGAAAGGATTTGGTTCACAAGTTGATTCACCTTACTCAAGTGGTGGGTTTTCTGCTCCTCCAGTTGCAGTATCATTCCATCCCTCTCAATTGTCAGTTCTTGATTGATCTTTTCGTGCATTTCCAAATTACATAGCAATTGCTGGCCTACTTCCTCCTTGTCTGTTAACTGCTGCTCCAAGTTGCTTATTATTACTTGCATAGAAAGTAATTGGTCATTAAGTCTTTGAATGATTGCCTTTTGCTGGGCTTCCTGCTTATCAGACTGCGTTATCTGGATGTTCTGAGCCAATTTAAGTGACTCGATTTCACTAACCAACTTTTCGCGCATTTCCTCCCTCTGCAGTCTTTGATGTGCTATAATCACCTGCATTGAACGGATCTTCGCCTGGAGTACTTTCGTATCAGTTGTAGGTGAGTTTCCGGTTCCATCCAATCTAGAATCGTAGGTCAGTATTTCCACGGCGTCCAGAAGCTCGCAAACGCCATGATTCATCATCCCCTCGCCAAGCTTTTGACCTTGCGGCTGCCCATGCTGACTGATCGATTCTTCTGGGTTATCTCGCCAAAAAGTTGAATTCCATTGCTCTAACCATTCCCTTTGATCCTCTGCGTACTTATCTTCAGAACACATCAAGTCCATGGCGGGTGCGTTTGTTCCAGCTACAAATTCAGATCCGTGCACTTCCATCGCCGCAGATATACTGAAGTATTCGAATCCTCAGCTAAAATAAAAATGCTTTGAAAATTGAATTGGCTACGGCTGATAGCTTTATCAGGTTACTTATCACGCAAAACTGAGTTTTTGCAAAAAAGCTCTGAAAAATAGTACCTTAGTCATAGGATTCCCCGTATTTTTATTCCTCCAGAGTTGCAACGCTAATGGGAAGAAGTGTTTATATTTTTTTAAAGAGTTTAACACGGCTTTCATGTAGATTCGATATCAAAACTTAAAGCACTAGTACACCCTATGGATGAGTTTTGTTTATTTTTCAATGGCGTCTTATCTTTCATAAACATTTGGGCAAAGCAGTAAGGCACTGCTCATACAAAGGAAATTTTAAGATTCTGAGCATCCACACAAATATACATATCAATAAATATATATAAATATAAATATCAATGTATATGTCGACGGTCAAAACATTGTTATCGATAGTTAAGTCAGTATTATTAGGAAATGTAGTATTTTAAGTTATCGGAACTACGGGCCTACTAATAGCGGTAGTGTGAATGCCGCCAAAAAGTGCCATTCATTGTTTTGTTGATCGTAGGAGGGCACACTGCGGTAAGAAGAGGAGATATATTTGAATTGTTAACTAAATTAATGAATTTACAGAATAAAACGTTCCATACGCCATAGCAACAGGCCTTTGAAGTTCACCTTTCTTTGGACCTACGCGTGGGGGAGCCGTTTAAGGCAACTCCTCACATCACAAAACAACAGTTTTTATTCGCAGTCCTAGGGAGACTGCAAGGGCAACTTGCGCTGGAGGACGGCTCGACGACCAGCTAGAGAGTTGCAAGGAGCGCACGGAGCGCAGTTCCCGTACCAGCAGAGGAGTCGCAGCCAGCGACATAGACGGCGCAGCCAGCGCCAAACCACTGAGTACGGACGGAGTCGCAGCCAGCGACACGGAGACGCAGCCAGCGTCAGTTCTGGGGACGCAGCCGGCGTCAGTTTAGGAGACGCAGCCAGCGTCAGGATAGGAAGCGCAAGGAGCGCCAAGCACCAGCGGGCAGGAGGCGCAAGGAGCGCCAAGCATCAGCGGCAGCAGCCAGACGGCACAGGTCCGCCATCTTTGGAGCGCTAGGGCAGCGCCATTTTGGAGCGCTAGGGCAGCGCCATATTTGAACACTTGGAGATGCAGCACTCCCCAGGAGGAGTTCCCGGCTGAACGGAGGGGAAGCCACCCCTACAACGCGAGCGGATCAGCAGCCAGCGAGTAGTGCAGCAGAAAATCGGCCGCGGGTGAACATAACCACGGCGGCGGCCATTTCTCGCCCAGCCACTACGGCGACTACAGTAGCGTCCCAACTAAGGGAGTACTGCTGTCACAGCTGCGAGTTCAGAGCCGGAGGTGAGCCAGCCACTCACGGCGTACCTATTGGAGAGGATTACGGCGTTGGAGAACGAGCTGAAGCAGGTTAGAGCTATGAACGCAACGAGCACCGCCAATTGCGCGCCAATCCCAGTTGGGCCAAGCGCAAATGGCGCCAACAGTGGAACGTCGGGCGGCCGCCATCGTGGAGCGGACCGCCATTAGCCGCCACATTGAACGGTGAGGCCCAAACTAACGGGGTCGGGCCGGACCCATATAGCAGTTTCGGTGCGACCAGTGGGGCCTACACGCTGCCGCCATCTTGGAGTGGACCACCGTTGCTAACGACTAGCAACCCACTGTGCGCTACAAGTGCTGCGCAGACAGCGCATGGATTCGCGCTACCGGGCGGGAGCATCCACAACGTGGCAACTGCATCGCCATTCGTGGGATCCTACGCCTCGATGACACCGATTGGAACCCAAGGAGCGAATGGGCCAAGGAGGCTCCCGGACTTGCCTATATTTGGAGGGCAGCCCGAGGATTGGCCCATCTTTAATTGTTCGTTTGTGGAGACGACCCAAGCGTACAACTGCACGGACCTGGAGAACAACCAGAGGCTGTTGAAGGCGCTGAAGGATGAAGCACGCGAGACAGTGAAGTCGCTGCTGATTCACCCTGCGAACGTCAGAGCCGTGATGGAGCAGCTGCGCTTCAGGTTTGGCCGACCGGAGCAGCTAATACGCAGCCAGCTGAACAGCGTGCGAGAGGTGCAGCCGATTTCGGAGCAGCAACTGGCGAGGATCGTCCCCTTCGCAACTAGAGTGAGTAACCTCACGGCCTTCTTGCAGTCGGCGAAGGCGGAGCAACATCTGGGAAACCCCACACTCATGGAGGAGCTTGTGGCAAAGCTTCCCACCAGCAAACGAGTGGATTGGGCCAGGCACGCTGCATCGATCCAGCCCTTTCCCACTGTAGCACACTTCAGCGCGTGGCTACAGGAGTACGCGAACATCGTGTGTACGATTTTGGACGTCGATGGAAAGGAGCCGAGGCGTCGAGTTCTGCACGCGAGCGTCGACCAGGACCGACACGAGCAGCGGGATGACCGGCATAGAGGTTGTCCAATTTGTGGAGGGCAACAACATGCTACGACGAACTGCAGGGAGTTCATCGGAGCTTCGCCACCGGGCAGGTGGAGCATGGTGAAGAGGCATCGGCTCTGCTTCACATGCTTACGAAGTGGGCATACGACCAGATCCTGCGATGTGCATCGCGAGTGCCAGATCGACGGATGCCGCAGATTACATCACCGTCTGCTACATGGAGAGGACGAAGAGCGAAGAAGGCCGGAGCAGCGAGGTGGCTTCAGGCGCCACAACGGAGGAAACCAGACGTCAGCTGTTTCCAGACGCAGCCCGGAAAGGAGGTCTTCGCCACGAGGTGGTTACAGGGACCACGAGAGGAGCCAGCAGTCGGCTGTCCTCAGGAACAGCCTGGAGAGAAGGGCCCCGCAGCCAGCAGAGGCGCCCGTGCAGACGAATTTAAGTATTGACGTCGAAGGAGGCCGACTTTTGTTTCGCATACTACCAGTAACGCTGTACGGAGCTGGTCGCCAGGTGGACACATACGCGCTGTTAGATGAGGGATCCTCCGTCACGATGATCGACAACGAGCTACGGAGGGATCTGGGATTGGAAGGCGAACATCGACAGCTTAACGTCCAATGGTTTGGAGGAAGATCCAGCAGGGAGCCTACCAACGTGGTGAGTCTGGAGATAAGTGGAGCTGGGAAGCCCACTCGCCACCCGTTGAGGAATGTGTACGCCGTTTCAAATTTGAGTCTGCCGATGCAAACGTTAAGTCGACGAGATGTCCAGGGCGTGCAAAGGGATTCGCGACTGCCGATGAAGCCCTACAGCAACGTGGTGCCGAAGTTGCTAATCGGGCTGGACCATGGTCATCTGGGATTGCCACTTAGGACGAGGCGGTTTGCCAGAGAGGGACCGTATGCGGCCGCAACCGAGCTTGGATGGGTTGTATTCGGGCCAGTAAGTGGACAGTCGACTACGCCGTCACCGAGGTCCTGCCTTCTAGCCGTGTCAATGGACGATGCGATGGAAAAGATGGTGGAGGACTACTTCGAGATGGAAAGCTTTGGTGTGAAGCTCGCGCCACCGGTCGCAGCCAGCGACGACGCGCGGGCCCAAAGGATCCTCGAGGACACCACGGTGAAAGTGGGGCGTCGCTACCAGACGGGATTGCTCTGGAAGGACGACCACACTGTGCTGCCACGGAGCTATGAGATGGCGCACAGACGGCTGATCAACGTCGAGAAGAAGTTGAAGCGCAACGGGCAGTTGGCTCTGGAATACGACCGTATCATCAAAGACTACGTTGCCAAAGGATATGCAAGGAAGCTGCAGCCGGATGAGGTCGCAGTGAAGAGCGACAAGCTCTGGTATTTGCCACATTTTGGTGTGGAAAACCCAAACAAGCCCGGAAGGTCCGGCTTGTGTTCGATGCTGCAGCCAAGGTTGGAGGAACCTCACTCAATTCGGCGCTGGACAAAGGGCCACAGCACTACAAGCCCTTGCCAGCTGTGCTTTTCCACTTCAGAGAAGGAGCAGTCGGAGTCTGCGGGGACATCAAGGAGATGTTCCACCAAGTGCTGATCCGACCCGAGGATCGATGTTCCCAAAGGTTCCTCTGGAGAGATGGCAACGACGATCGAGAGCCGGATACATACGAGATGAACGTGATGACTTTTGGAGCAGCCTGCTCGCCGAGCACTGCGCACTACGTCAAGACGGTGAATGCCCTGAAGTTTCGGGATTCAGATCCGAGGGCAGTCAAGGCCATCATCGACCACCATTACGTCGATGACTACGTGGATAGTTTCGATACGGAGAGCGAAGCTATCGAGGTATCTACCCGAGTGAAGGAGATACACGCGGAGGCTGGATTCGAACTATGCCAGTTCTCATCCTGCTCACCCATCGTGGAAGCGGCGTTGGGACCACCTGGACAAGTCAAGAGCGTCGGATGGGGTGAGTCTGAGCAGAAAATCCTTGGAATGCGTTGGCAAGTAGCAACGGATGACTTCAGATTCAACGTGGAGTATCATCGAGTGCCAAAAAGCGTCCTAAGTGGAGAGCGAGTCCCAACAAGAGAGAGTTTTTGAGCCTGCTGATGTCAACGTTCGACCCATTGGGGTTCCTGTGCTGCCTGATGATTACAGCGAAGCTGTTGCTGCGGGAGATCTGGAGGCAGAAGATCCAGTGGGACGAACCGCTGCCGGAGGAGATAGGCAGAGCCTTTGCTGCCTGGCGAAGAGAGTTGGACGCCGTGGGACAGTTCCGATGTCCTCGCCACTATTTTGGGCGTGGAGCAGTTCGGACCATCGAGTTGCACGTTTTCGTGGATGCAAGTCAATCTGCATTCGCGGCGGTGGCCTATTGGAGGGTCACGTACAACGACGGAAACGTGCTGGTTAGCTTCGTGTGCGCAAAGACGAAGTGTGCGCCGATGAGGACGATGTCCATCCCACGGCTGGAGCTGCAAGCAGCGGTCCTTGGAACCAGAGTGATGAATACTGTCAAGGAAGAACACGGTGTGGACATCAGCGAGACGGTTTTATGGACGGACTCAAAAACGGTGCTGAAATGGATCGGCAGCACCCACCGCCGGTATAAGCAGTTTGTTGGCAACCGAGTGGCGGAGATTTTGGAGTCGTCGAAGGTTTCCCAGTGGAGATGGGTACCTACAGCTGACAACGCAGCGGATGATGCGACGCGGTCGCAGAGCAAGGCGGACCTTAGCCCGGAATCCCGGTGGCTAAGCGGTCCCGCATTTTTAAGGCAGCCGAAGCGGCTGGCCAACGCCTGAGAAGGGAACCGAGCATGTTCCAGATGCACCTGACGAGGAGGAGATGCCCGGTGAGTTCGCTTTGGTAGCATCGAATGAATTTGTCATCCTGTTCCAGAGATTCTCGAGCTTCAGTCGCCTGGTGAGGACCACCGCCTGGGTCCTGAGGTTTGCGCGACGGTGCCGCAAACAGAGAAGCGAGCTCGAGGAATATGGACTCACTGCGACGGAGTGTGAGGCCGCGGAGAACCTGTTAATCAGGCAGGCCCAATTGGAGTCGTTTCCCGACGAGATGGGGTCGGCGGAACGCGGAAAGGAAGTCGCCAACTCGAGCGAGATTCGTAGTCTGGCGCCGTACATGGATAAATATGGAGTTCTGCGAGTTTATGGCAGAGTCGATGCCGCGCTGTCCATGCCGTACAGTGCGAGGAGGCCCGTGATACTGTCACACAGGCACAGTCTCACGGAGATGGTAGTAAGACACTACCACGCCCAGATGAAGCATCAAAACGTGGATGCGACGATTGCCCAGATCCGGACGAGATTCTGGGTCACGAAGATAAGACGAGTGCTGAAGGAGGTAATCTCGTCGTGCAACGAATGCAAGCTACAACGGACGCGGCCGATGCCGCCGATAATGGGACCCCTTCCAGAGGATCGCTTGGAAGCTGGAGGATGGCCATTCAAGTACACAGGACTAGACTACTTTGGGCCACTGCTGGTGACTGTTGCCCGTCACAGAGAGAAGCGTTGGGTCGCCTTGTTCACATGCTTGACGACAAGGGCGATTCATCTGGAGCTGGCGCATGATCTGTCAACGGATTCCTGTATTATAGCGATCAGGAACTTCGTCTGCCGTAGAGGACCAGTATGTAAACTGCGGGTGACAACGGAAAAACTTCGTGGGAGCTGACGAGAGGCCAGACGATTTGGGGACGTGTTCGAGACGGAAAGGATACAGAGTGAGTTATCCAGCAGGAGCATTGAGTGGGTTTTTAATTGCCCATCCAACCCGTCTGAGGGCGGGTATGGGAGCGGATGGTGCAGTGCGTCAAGCGAGTGCTGCGCCATACCCTGAAGGAAGTCGCGCCGAGGGACCATGTGTTGGAGAGTCTACTCATAGAGGCGGAGAACGTAGTCAACTCGCGTCCGCTCACCCACTTGCCAGTAGATGCGGACCAAGAGGCGCCGTTGACGCCAAATGACCTGCTCAAGGGAGTAGCTAACCTGCCAGATACGCCTGGATTGGATGCCGAGCTGCCCAAGGAGGGTTCTACGCGAAAGCAGTGGAGGATTGCCCGCATGCTGCGAGACCGTTTCTGGAGGAGGTGGGTCAGGGAGTACCTGCCTACGCTTGTGCGCCGCGAGAAGTGGTGCCGGAGAACGGAGCCCATCCGCCAGGGCGATATGGTCTTCGTCTGCGATCCTGCCTTGCCCAGACGAGAGTGGCGCAAGGGCATCGTGGAGGAGGTCTACAGCGGGCTGATGGAGTCGTCAGACGCGCCACTGTGCGCGTAAATGATAATGGATTATCTTGGACAATGTTGCGGCCCGTCTCTAAACTTGCAGTTTTGGATTTGAGTGAAGCTGGTCTTCACGGGGTCGGGGATGTCGACGGTCAAAACATTGTTATCGATAGTTAAGTCAGTATTATTAGGAAATGTAGTATTTTAAGTTATCGGAACTACGGGCCTACTAATAGCGGTAGTGTGAATGCCGCCAAAAAGTGCCATTCATTGTTTTGTTGATCGTAGGAGGGCACACTGCGGTAAGAAGAGGAGATATATTTGAATTGTTAACTAAATTAATGAATTTACAGAATAAAACGTTCCATACGCCATAGCAACAGGCCTTTGAAGTTCACCTTTCTTTGGACCTACGCGTGGGGGAGCCGTTTAAGGCAACTCCTCACATCACAAAACAACAGTATATGTATGTACATACATATGTATTTTGATAACTTAAAAAATAATCCAATGACTAAAATTATAACCAATTTTGCCAGTTTTAACTACTTTATTTATTTAATTTTTTCAAATATTTTTACATTTTTTTTACAATGTACTATTCATTCTTACTTCTTAATTATTTATTGGACTTAAATGAAGCTTTGTGAGTGAGTGTGTATGTAAATATATACGTACTTTTCAAAAAAAAAAAACAAGAGTGCTTATTCTGCACTTTTTCCATTCAAACAAATTTTCCATGAAATAAACTTAAAAAAAAGATTGGCGGTTGCTATTACTTTAACTTAAAAGCATAGGTCCTTCTGGGATAATTCTTATTATATTTTTCATAAATATGTATATGACTTTATTGGTTGGGCAGTATGTGACGGCCGTATATATAACGAAGATGAGTATGATCGCACGGTTTCCGGCATGTTGGGCATTCCCTAGATCGGTTCAAATAGGATCTAATGCAGGAGTCGCCAAAAAGATGTCCACAAGACAAGGAGACGAGTCGGTGGCTGCCACTAACGTCCCAAGCCACCAAACAGATGGAGCAAGTGATGTCATCTTGGTTTTTGTTCTCAAGATTCAGCTTCAACTGATCCATTTCTTTTAGATGAATTTGCTCCTGATTTTCGAGGTTTTTGAGTAGATTCTGACGCATATTTTCTTTCTTGGCTATCTGGTCTTCCAAATCTGTTAAAATAATCTGCATGGAATGTACCTGTTCCTCAAGTTTCTCCACTACACCACGATGTATTGATTCTTCCTCCTTCAGTTTCAATGCAATAGTTTCCTTTTCAAGTGCAAGTTGATCCTTTTGCGAGCAGACAAACTGAAGCTCGTAGAACAGCCCATCAATTTGTTGCCTTAGTCCCTGGTTTTCTGTCTCGTGATCTTTTACTTGAATCTGTAACTTAAGAATTTCCTCGATGTGTTTCTTCCTTAACGAATCCATGTTGTCGGTCTCTGTGCACTCCAGCTTCCACCAATTTTTTAGCCATTCGTACTGCTCGGCAGTGTACGGGTCTTCCAAGTTGTCGTAGTCAAAATCCATGGGTATAAGAAACGTGGAAACTTACGTTAGCTTGATGTCGCAGATTTAAATTGAAATATAAATTCGGGGAAATTCTAAAAGCCAGTGCTGCCAATCGAAGAGAATATCAAAATTGTAGCTTAAAACATTTTCAAAAATATAAGTAAAAAATCCATGGAAGTTGATGGATCAGTAAATTCTCCCAAAGACTAAATATTTAGGAATCATTAAGAAATATGTTTCTAAAATAATTATTCGAAATTTATTTTGAAAAGCCGCCAAGAGTACCGTGCTTCATCGACGCAACCCTGGTGCGGCTTTTTGGCGCACGGTCACACTTTCAAAACTATTAGCTGGCTTATTTTCAACTTTTTTCGATGTTATAAACGTAAAACCAGCAAGTAAACAATTTAAGAATGGACTCCAAGCTGGATGTGAGTACTAACAGAACAAATCATCATCATGAGTATTTCTGACTTGTGATCCGCAGATGTTTGAGGACGTTAACACGTCGCCAGCTCCTTCTCTGGAGGGCGAGATGTCCATTCCGGGCCAACGGATAACAACAACAACGTCTCCGGGCGGTGTTCCTGATTACAATACCCTGGATGAGCCCATCCGGGAAACAGTACTAAGAGACATCCGCGCCGTGGGAGTCAAGTTTTATCATGTGCTATATCCCAAGGAGAAATCCAGCCTGCTGCGGGATTGTACGTCATCACCTTCTTGTATTCACTGCTCGCGTAAGCAGATTTTAATGGTTTCTTAACACTTTTAGGGGACTTGTGGGGACCCCTGGTTCTGTGCACGTTCATGGCTACTATTCTGCAGGGCTCCTCTTCCGCAGACAGCATGGCTGACAACGGCCCCGAGTTTGCCCAGGTATTCGTCATCGTCTGGATAGGAGCGGCCATCGTCACACTTAACTCCAAACTTCTTGGAGGCAATATGTACGTTGATTTCACCCTTTTTAATTTAATATATGTATAATGTTTTTATTATAAACCCCATCCTTTGCAGCTCATTCTTCCAATCAGTTTGCGTCTTAGGCTACTGCCTTACACCAGTGGCCATTGCTCTGATCGTGTGTCGGGTGATCCTGTTGGCGAAACACACGCCACTACTCTTCTTTCTACGTTTCGTAACAACTACTTTGGGTTTCGCCTGGGCTACATATGGTAAATCCGTAGGTCCGATTCGTATTACCTAAAAAATAATCATTCTCATTTTCTTTGCAGCTTCTTTTGTGTTTTTGGGCCAGAGCCAGCCGCCCCATCGAAAGCCACTTGCCGTTTACCCAATCTTCCTGTTTTTCTTCATCATCTCTTGGCTGGTGTTGTCCCATAATTAGCCGGATTTTCTTAAATCCTAGTGATTAAGTCGTATAAAAAGTGCACGTTCCATAGCGTAACCAAAAATCCGAAATCAATTGTAAATTTATTTAAGCTACGATCCTGTTTTGTTTATTCTTAAAATCTTACAAAATATGTGAGTTACGAGACTTGCACATGCATACGGGCTATGTATATTTGGGCTCACACCTCCAGGTTGTTCGCCGAGGAGGCCACCTCCAGGGACATCTGCATCTGAACGCCGTCACCCTTTGTAGGCCGGTAGGTCAACGAATTGGCACGCGCCTTGCGGCCCATGAAGTGCCGCTCCACCCATTTCAACAGCGTGTATACGGAGTCTGTTGACGGCAGTCGATGGTCCGCCGCCGTTTTAACTATATCCGATGATGTGACTCGGAAAGTTCGGGCCATGCCCTTGAGAGCCTAAAGACGATGTTTAAATAACATGAATCGTCGCAGCCAAAAGAACAAGAACAGGTTTCATAATACTTACCACCATAGCATCTTCGTCGGTAAGATCGTCGCCTACGTAAATGATTTTGATGCGCTCGTTCCAGTCGACGCCAAAGGAAGTACGTAAAATGTAGATAGACGCGCGACCCTTGTTCCACTGCACCGGAGGACGGGCCTCCAGGGCACAGTGTGCCTCCGTAGCCCGGAAACCGTACTTTTCGATTAATGAGCGCGCTCTGTCTACCATGGCACCCCTCAGGTGGTTCGGAGTCTCGCGGTAGTGGAACGTCAACAGCGCTCCCTTGTTCTCTACCCAAGCTCCATCTCGACAAACCGAGTCCTGCAGCGCTTTCAATAGATCACTGACCTTTTTCTCGTATTCAATGGGCATTGGATGCACAAACTTGCTGCCATCCGGATGGAGGATTTCGAGACCGTGGTTGCCTGCATATGTGATGCCTTCGATGCCTACCATTTTCTTAACGTTATCCACGTTGCGACCCGAGATAACAGCCACGTAGACGTCGGAGTGGTTGGAGAGCTTGTACAGCACGTTCTTGATTTCCGGGGAGAGGGTGGCTAGATCTGGGTGAGGGGCAATCGGCGCCAGGGTGCCGTCGTAGTCCAAGAGCAAGGCCAGCTTGTGGTTATAGCCGATGTATCTGAAGGGAACAACAAATATGATTAGAGTTTGGGCGAACAATAGCCTATAGTGGTAGAATTTGCTCACTTGAGTAAGTAGTCATCGAAATCGTCCACAGAGACGGGCTGCATGATGGTGGTACCAACGTCGTCCATTTCAAGAGCACCCACGGCCTTTAGGAAGCAGCGCATCCAGTGGCTTACATCGCACTCAGCTTCCCTCCTACGGAGTCGGGCCATTCGGAGCACACGTTCATCCTCCGGCATTGTAAGCGCCCTGTGGATCACCTCGGCGGCCTCATTCACTTCGTACGGATTGCAGAGCAGCGCCTCGTGCATCATTTCACCGGCTCCGGCAAATGGCGAGATAACCAAGACGCCGGGCACCTCGTTAATTTGGCAGGCCACGAACTCCTTCGCCACCAGATTCATCCCGTCACGGAGGGGAGTGACCAGACACACGGCCGCATCCCTGTACAATGCTGCCAATTCGTCCTGGCTAACGTAGTCGTAAATGTATCGGATGGGCGCCCAGTTGGCGGTGGTGAATCGCCCGTTGATACGGCCCACCAACTGATCCACCTCCTCCTTCAGTTCGCGGTACTCCTTCACATCAGTACGAGAGGGAACCGAAATCTGGAGCAGGCTGACCTTTTCCTTGTGCTGTGGATACTTCAACAGCAGTGCCTCGAAGGCCATCAGGCGGTGGACAAGGCCCTTGGTGTAGTCCAGACGATCGACGCCCAGAATGATCTGCATTTTGGAAGTCTTTAAAACCTTTGGAGCCGTCTGAGCCAGGTTCACGAATCGTTCGTAGGGGATTCCAATGGGCAGTGGACGGATACGGACTGTACGCCCACCGTGCTCCACCAGAAGATTGTTGCGGTCCACACGGCAACCAAGATTCCTCTGGCAACAATCCACAAAATTAAGACAGTAATCTTGAATGTGGAAGCCGACCAGGTCACAGCCCAGCATACCCTAACGGAAAGAAGACAAATCGTTATAAAGATTACCAAGATTGTGGGAAAATAACTTCGGAATAAGAATCTAAGAAATTGGATTGAAAAATCTTACCTGCAGGATCTCATCGGACCAGGGCAGCAGTCGGAAGATATCCCATGGCGGGAAGGGAATGTGTAGGAAAAAGGCCAGCCGGCAGGGCAGGTTCTTCTCCTCGGCATGCTCCCGCACCCAGTTGGCTGCCAACATAAGATGATAGTCATGAATCCATACGATCGGGGGACTCTTGTCGGTGCCTTCGCTTTTGGCCAGGCACTTCTCCAAAGCCTCGATGGTTCGCACAGCAAAATGCTTATTGACAGTCACATAGTCGTGCCAGTGCTCGCCTCCGAAGTTCGCCCGGCCAGGCATGGAGTGAAAGAGCGGCCAGAACATCTTGTTGCAGCATCCATTGTAGTAGCTATCAAAGACTTTCGAGTTGATGTTCACGGACACCACCTGCTCTGACTTCAGGCCAGCGGTGGGGGTTTGATCGTTGGGGTTGGACTCGGGAATGGCTTCGTTGGGGTCCTCCAAATGGATTCCAGACCAACCCACCCAGAGACCGCTACCCTTAATCACTACCGGACACACGGCAGTTACCAGGCCACCAGCACTAGAAGGAGATAAAGTTGATAAACATATAATACATATCCTAAGCATATCATAAATTTAAGTCTAGAGACACCTAGGATGACTATTTTAAAGGTTCCTTCATTATTGAAGAAAGGGTGATGATTCCTGAAAATTATTTTATTTTTTAAATATTTTTTGTCAATTTTATTCCTTAGAAAAAACATGAACCTATTTTACATTCGAAAATGGACCACTAAACGAGACGTCATGAGGTGTACTCTGGGCTGGTTTGCTGGACGGGATGTTCGAGTATACGTTGGCAAAGACCCATCCCATTTTGTGCAGAGGGCACGACACCCGGGACTGATAAGAAAATCCCATTAAAGCTGCGATTGTAAACAAGCTGGTGGACCGAGGTTCGGTTCGGTCCATCCCACCCGGAGACAATCCGGGAGAGTGTCGGATGAAAAGCCAACTCCTGGCATAGGTCGGGAAACTTCGGAGCGAAGCAATCTCGGTCACGTGACGGCGTTTTTCAGTGTCAGGTTCAGGTTCCACTGGGCGACGTCAGCCTTGTTCTAACGCCTCAGTATTGCCCCCTTTACCAAATGCCTGGAAAGGGTCAAAACCGCGTAACGGACCTCGCTGATAAGACCTGCCATTAGTATTGAATCTGTTTTCTAATCCCATGCCCAGACATCGCCTCGATGCCAAGTATATTGTCCAGCTCATCTCAACCCCCCATCCCCATCCCCATTCCCATTCCCATTCCCATCCCGGTCTGTGTATTTTGCGCTGATAATCGAAACATAGGTATATAACATATTCAGGCACAAGATCGGGGGTTGGGTGTTGGGGCGCAGGCTGTGCTTATCTTTAATGCAAATTGCTAGAGGGCTTACGGATCGAACTGGGTTACTTGGAAATGATTGTTGGATTTTTGGGTTTGCAAAGAATATTTAAGTTTTTCCTGATTGAGCTTTGCCTGTCGAATCTTCGACTAATGATAAGCGATCCGATGGTGGAATGGAATTAGTTCGAATATTTTAAATTATTTGCTCCCTTTGTTTGAGATAACTTTATTTAACTATTTACTTGACCCTCTTAACGGACTTTAACAATCTTCCATGATAGATTACCAAGCTAAAGATTCGTTATATACTATCAACATTTTACTTCGATCTCATTTTTTAAAAAATATTGTTATGTAACGTGCTACTTAGTTTTTTAGAAATCGAAACGGAATTAATGGGATAATTTAAACACTTTAAAAATTTTGAAAGATATTACGTAACGATGTTCTTATTTTCGATTAAAAATACCTGAAACTTTTTCAATCACACACATTCTACATCAAAAAACACTTTATCTTAAAATATTTCTCACTCACCTGGCTCTGCGTTCCAGCTCCTGGGTTTTTGCGTTCCGGATTAGCACAAACGGCAACCGATTCGAGACCACGATGAGACTCGCCTTGGTGGACGGCTCACCCGCATTGGTCACAACGATCTCCGTTTCGGGCATTTTGATCTTTTTTTTTAAATTAAATGTGGAAGTAAAGTAGCTACTGTAATGGCTGGATAAAAAGCTGCTCTAGGAGGAAGCCGCTAACGGGACTAGCACATAATTTTCAGGCAACTGCGATGTATGTAGAGGTCTGACACCTGTCTTCGCCGATGGGAGAGGGCGACTGCTGCCGAAATTCCAATACGAATGCTGATAGAAGGTTGAAGATTCCAGAGCAACTGCCCGCCCGAGCAGTGTTCTTATCTCTCAGATGCAATTCGCGGGCCAAAATTTATTAGCTTTGTGAGCTGCTAGTGGGGAAAACCGTTTTCCTGGCTGCGTTTGGGAATGGGCTGGTGGTTGCTTCGTTGGTCGCGAGAGCCAGTAGCTCCGTACCCTGCCGAAAATAGACAAGCACTAAGCCAACTAGCCGCTCAAGTCGCACTTTTCTGCTAAAAATTAATGCGCCTCGATCGCTCGAGAGCTCCTCCTCCTCCGTCTCCGCCTCCGTCCGATCTTGGGTTCCACAGTCCACTGTCTCTCCGGCTTATCAGAAAATCGTCCAGCTTCATTAATAGCACTGATTACGTTACGGGTGTTTATGAAACGTGCCGTATACAGTTCGATTCGCGATGGCTCTATTCTCCTGTTTTGGCCAGTTTTCAGGGCAACTTTCGAGGTGTTGGCATCCTTGGAGGTACTGCCAATACCGGGTTGGAGGTGACTGACGGTTATGTGACCTTTTGAAACCATGGATTTAAAGCCGGGGTTTTAGTTTTCTAGAATTAACCGGCCGAGCCTGGTATTATCAGCTCGTGAACATTTCACGGCAACATTGCTGTTGCCTCTCCTCCCCTCCGACTGACCACCCTCGGTGTCGTCTCTCAAAGTGATAAGTCAACAAATCGATGCTGTTGTTTACGCTTCGACTGTCTTATAAAATAAAGAACATCCCAATTGTACACAGAAGATTTCTATTTTCGGATCTCTTTCAAAGTCTCTTGCCTGCAAGCCGCTCTCAAGTCTTGCATTTCTTGGCTTTTCCGGAGCTCTAACCTTGTCATGACCGTCACTTTCTGGCTTAATTATATGGATAGTACAACCGTTTTATTTTTATTTTTAACTATTTGCAAGGAAAGATACAAAACTGATAAGATGCACCCCGGTTATCTGGTGCATTTTAGTTTAGGATTTATGGCGGAGTGGTGCAAGGGATTACGGCCGGTTGGCTGAATATATTATGTATGGAAAACTTGGCTGAACTTGAACGCTTGATCATGTTTGGCAGTCATGCGCTTATCACGACGCCTGGCTGGCGGTTTACGTGATTGCCGTTTTATAGTTGCCGGAATCTGCACTAACAGTTTCGCATCGGAGCGCAAATTAGTCAGCTCGGTTGGGCTTTTAATGCAGCGATGGGATCGGGACGATCAGGATCCAGATAACCCATTCGAGGTCGCTCTATTGCGTTGGTTATTTATAGTTGTCACCGACGTCTATAGTTCTGACGCGACTATTCTGACGCACAAAACCCATCCAAATAGTTTGTATGCAATCAATTTTAAATTCAAAATTCAAAAAATAACTGCCGATATAACAAAATTCCTTATCGGTGTTTTTATAATTTATTTTCGCGTTTTGCAACACTAATTTAGAATCAAAATCATCTGGCTGCGTTCTCCTTTGGAAGATCTTCGACATGGATCCTGCAATAATTGAGTTTATTGGCGAAAAAGTCATGATCAGCATTATTCCAAACTTTTCAAATGAGCCGCTGCATATGATCTACGGTTCCGTTGGCCCATTCCGGGCGGGCTTTCCTGTCTTCGTGCCCCTGTGGATGGCGACGCATCTGCGCAAGCAACAGAAATGCCGGATTGTGCCGCCGGAGTGGATGGACATGGACATACTAGAGGAGATCAAGGAGGAGGAAAAACGATCTAAGTATGTAACAATTTGGAATGGTCTATGTTATATTATAACAACTATTTTCGGTTTATTGTAGATTTTTCACCAAGATGCCCTGCGAACATTACATGGTAGTGGCTCAATTGGTCATGTCAACAGCTCCTGATGACGTTCCCAGATGCGAGGAGCTACGCACCGTCATCAAGGACATTTTTGACATTCGCGAATCCAAACTGCGCACCTCAATAGACGCTTTCATCAAGGGCGAGGGCACCTACGCCAAGCTGGACAACTTAACGCTCCTAGAAATCCATAGCGTGCGACCGATCCTTCCCTACTCTCTGGACCATATAGCGCGATACCAACGCATGGCCACTGCGTCCCAGAGGGACACCTCTATGCTCAGTAACTCCATGATGGGCTCCAATTCAGTCCCCAATAGTAACTCGCTGTTTTCTCAGTGATTAGTATTATTAAAAATATATATGTACAATCTAATAGTTATAAGAATATAATTTTGCCTAGAATCATTAAAAACAGCAAGCTCATATTAAAAAACTTTGCTTAAAACTTTCATTTAACTTAGCGGGAAATATTGCGCATGTCAGCACTGCCACTGTTAATAACAGCCTACACAACAGAAGACTTCTCTCCATCCCTGGAAGTCTGACCCAAAACCATTTTTCAGGAAAATCGCTAACGATACAAAAAGAAGACTTAAAATGAGCGAAGCCCCGGTTTCTGTGGAGATGGAGCCAGCCTCCACGGAGCATATGGTGGCCAACAATAAGATTCGTTTCTCGAAGGAAGTGAAGCAGGTCATTGACAAGGTAAGACGTCACACTGGGTCTGGTAAACATACGGATTTTTTCACTTGCCGACATTTCCCATTTAGGTACTTAAAACTGATGACCCCATGGATGCACCAGACTTCAATACCGTTGACTACATTAACCAGTTGTTTCCCAACGAACAAAGCCTAGCGGGCATAGATGAAACCATTCATAAAATGCAGTGTGAGGTGTCGCTGATTGATGACAACATTCGATCCGTGGTACGGGGCCAGACGAATACCGGCCAGGATGGACAGCTGGCACTAAGTGAAGCCCAGAAGGTTATCGGGTCGCTTTTTAGCCACATCATCGATGTTAAGACGCGGGCAGAACGCACGGAGGAGATGGTCAAGGAGATCACCCGGGACATTAAGCAGCTGGACTGCGCCAAGCGCAACCTGACTGCTGCGATAACCACGCTGAATCACCTACACATGCTAGTCGGTGGCATCGAAAGCCTTAACAAACTAATAGAGCGCCGATCCTACGGAGAGATTCTTAACCCGCTTCAGGCTATCACCGAAGTTAACCAACATTTCCAGCAGTTCTCCGACATCGAGGAGATCAAGGTGGGTAATCTTTTGTGCCTGTGATTAAGTTCTATAATTCCATTATTACTATTTCAGAACTTGTCACAGAGCGTGGACAAAATCCAAGTCACTCTCGCCCAACAAATCACCGAGGATTTCAAGGAGGCGTTCTCGGCAAAGTCCTCCGGCCAAAATCAGCACCGATTGGGACTCAACCAGTTGGCTGATGCCTGCAAGGTGATGTCCGTTTTGGATCCGAAGGTTAAAAAAGAGCTTCTAAAGTGGTTTATTGCTAAGCAATTAGAGAAGTAGATGCCTGAAGCGGCATCTTCTTGATTTTGAGGTCAAGTATGGTCCCGTTTTTCCGCTGGATTGGGAGGTATCGGAGCGCATTACTGTTGAGTTCTGCCGTCAGACGCGGGAGCAGTTGGCACAGATCATGGCCAAACGTACCAACGAAATTGACGTCCGGCTACTGCTTTTCGCCATCAACAAGACCCAGGCCTTCGAGCAGCTGCTCGCCAAGCGCTTCACGGGAGTGACTTTGGGAGCTTCTCAATCAGAGCCGCCAGTGCGAGTGCTTGCAGCGCCTTCTGCAGGTGACACTCCTACTGGCATAACCGTGTTCCATGATCAAATCGGGCAGTGCTTTAAGTCGCATCTCGACATCTACATTCGTAGCATTGACAGGAATCTTGCGGAGCTAATGGAAAAGTTCGTAGAGATGTCCCGCGAGCCATATAAGTTCGCCGAAGCAAAGACCACCGTGTATCCTAGTTCAGGGGACCTGTTTGTCTTCTACAAGAAATGCATGGTGCAGTGCAACCAGCTCAGCAACGAGCAGCCCATGTACGATCTTGCACTAGTTTTCAAGAAGTACCTCCGTGAATATGCATCAAAGGTTCTGGAGGGCAGCACACCGAAGCTTGTGCCCGCTACAACGGGAAGTTCCCTCGGAAAAAGTGTGTCTCTGCTGACTCGCGATATGCAAAACCTTTCTACGGCCGCGGGTCAGGTTTTCCACAACTTCCTGAAAGAGGGAGACACCCAGCGTTTCTCGCGAGACGACCTCGTTCGGATATGCTGCGTTTTGACTACCGGCGAGTATTGCCTCGAGACCGTCCAGCAGCTTGAGGACAAACTGAAGGAAAAAGTGACTGCTGTCTACGTAAGCAAAATTGATATGAGCGAGGAGAAGGATGTGTTTCATCGGTAAGATTATTTTCATTATTTATAACTGGTTTTTTTTATTAAAGTATTTTCTATAACAGCATTATATCGAACTGCATCCAATTGCTGGTACAAGATTTGGAGGCTGGAAGAGAGGCTTCTTTGCAAGCAATGGCTAAAGTACAGTGGCAGCATATCAACAACGTTGGAGACCAGAGCGCCTTCATTAGCAGCATGTGTGGAAACTTTAAGCAGACGGTTCCAACCATTCGGGATACATTGGCCAGTTCACGGAAGTATTTTACACAATTCTGCCATCGATTTGTGGCCGCCTTTGTGCCAAAGTTTATAAACGTCCTGTACCGTTGCAAACTTACTTTGTCCGATGGGTACAACAATGTGCTGGGCTGTGAGCAGCTTCTATTGGACACTCACTCGCTCAAAACGGGTGAGCACCAACCAGCTACACGAAAGTAGAGGACAAGGATATGACCCGGGACGAGATGAACTACCAGCGCATTTTTCGCAACAAGTACTTAAACTGTTACCCGATATCACCATCGCCGATATCACCAAGTACATGAAGATTCTTGACATGAAAGCGGTCAAGCGTGTGGATCAACTGCAATTGATTGATCTCTTCAAGCACACGGCCTCGGCAGCTGCGGTTAGTGGTCTGATCGAGCCAACTGCTGGTGAGGAAGAGGCAGGTGGCGTAGACTCCTCAACCGGAGCTTTGGGAACCTCTGACGACGCCGATCCATCAACTGCAGCAATCGAATCAACGGCAAATACATCCAATGCTACAACGTCTTCCTCCACACCCAAAAGAGCCTTTATTTTCAGCGTTGGAAGTTTCACGGGAAGCGCAGACAAGAATGCCGATGGGAGCTCCCAAACTGGCATTCGAAAATTAGAAAATCTTCTGAAGAAACGATTTTCTTAATCTGTCTTCAAATTGGAAACTCGACTTTGACATTCCCCGGAGCTTTCTAGGATGTAGTTTACCAATATTCTGTAATTTATTTTACAAATCCGGATTAGGTTATGGATGTATTTTAAAATAATAATAGCACAAAAAAATTGTTTTTTAACTTTAAAAAATTCCATTTTTGAAAACATTTAAAAAATCTTCCGTTCTGTTATCGATGTTTAGTTTTGCGCCTAACAGCACCAATGTTAGCACTTTTAAGGCTAACAGCTGACTATTACAGCTGATCTGACGTCTGATGAAAAATAAACACTTATATGAAAAAGTAAATAGAAACATAATTCTTAAACGAATGCGAATATAATAAAGCAACAAACATTAACGCCCATTAATATGAAAAAGTAAGTAGAAATAGTTTTATAAAACTGAGTTTATGTTTTCTCACAGGAGGATTTCTTGTCCCAGCTCAAAAACAACTATTTCACGACCCAAGCGAACTCGTATTTCGAAAAGTAGACGGATTTCAGACTCATCATTTCGGGCAGATGAACTTCTTCCGGTTCTACAAGGTCGATTGAAACACAGCGGCTGCTCGACAAGTAAAAAACACAGTAATAATGCCGATAAATGTGAAGTAAAAAACGAACCTATTGAAGATGAATCTTTTGGCGAAGAATCAGAAGATTCTATAGACACCGATCCTATCAGTCCTAGTCCTAGAATGAAAAACGAACAAAATGTAACTTTTTCTGCAGAAGTAAAAACAGGAAAGGAGCAATCAAGTTCGGAGGAATCCAAAGACCCAATAGGTTCCCTACAAAAAGAGGGTAATGATAATTCAAAGGTGCAAACCGATAAGATGAAGTACAAATGCTCCATTTGTACAAAACAATATTCATACCTCGCCAATTATAACGTACACTTACGGATGCATACTGGTGATCGTCCTTTTAAATGTCCTCATTGCCCAAAAACTTTTCCATACGAAATAAACCTAACTCAACATATTCCAACGCATTTCGGAGAACGCCCATACAAATGTCCTTATTGTTCAAAATCCTATGCGCGAAATGGAGCGTATGTTTCGCATATCCGTAAACATGAAAAGGGTCCTAAGTAAAATAATTAAAATAAAACCTTTGCATTAAATAATAGTGAACATCTACAAAATTCTTTATATAAAGCGCGACAAATTTCCGCCATCTGACCAACCATTTTTTTTGGTTGAATTGTATTATCATTTTGTTTCATTTAAAATAATAAATATGTATAATATACATAATTCAATTTCTTAAATTCTTTTGAATATTTATCTGTTAGTGGGACCAGTCTAGTCCGCTGAATAGGGTATACTGTGCACGCCACAAGTAGTTCTTAAAATATAAACAAACCCAACAGCTGATACAAACCCTGTCTTGAAAATTAATAATTAAGTATATTAATAAAAAGCTTTGAGTTGTTACTCATTTTAATTATTCAAGGGCTGAGTTACGGTCAACGAAGAGACAGGCTAGGAGGAGATCCTGGTGGAGCAAGTTTTCCAAATAACTGATTACGGGATTAAGGAGGAACAAGCCAGTGAAATGATACCACATGAAACATCGTTATTTAAACCAAGAACAAGAAGTAGCGTTGAAATGCCCAGCTGAACTAGAGACCCCGTTTTATAAGTGCTCTTATTGGAAAAATAAGTACGCCTGCAGTCTGTGCTCAAAATCTTTTAAACATTCTAAGAATCTTCTATTGCACAACGAAGGCCACCAGAACTCAAAGTGCCAAACATTTGTGCCTTAAGCAGGGCCAAAATGGTTTTTCGTTTTACCATAATACTGTAACAGATAAGTGATAATTTACAAATTATATATATACTTTCTGTTTATTTGACTAGGTGGTTGCCAGCTTTATAAATCCTTGGGAAACGAACCAGACACAGTTTTAGATTTTGATTTCAGTTCTTGTATAATTTAACATTAATAAAAACCTAATGGATATATTACACGTATAAACATAATAAAATTGTCTAACATAATAAATTTAAAAATAATTAAAGTTAAATCATAAAACCAAGGTTTCATGTTTTATTGCTGGGAGCCTCGTTATGGGTTCGTACGTGTATTACGTAGTTGGAATTGTATTTAAAAGTCTTTGAGCAAAAGGAGCAACTAAACGGTCGCTCTCCCGTATGGGTCCGCATGTGGTTATCCAGAACAGATTTGACAGTGAAAGCCTTTGGACACTCCGTACACTTGTACAGTCTCTCACCAGTATGGCTCCGGATGTGAGCAGTTAAATATGATCTTTGCTTATAGGCTGAAGGACATTGCGGGCACTTAAATGGTCGCTCTCCAGTGTGGGTTCGCATGTGCACTTGTAAATATTTACGTTCTGCAAAATCTCTATTGCACTCGGAGCACTTATATGGCTTTTCACCGGTGTGAGTGCGAATGTGCGATTTAAGACTAGCTCCATTTGTGAAGGACTTGGGACAAAACGAGCACTGGAACGGTCGCTCTCCTGTGTGGGTGTGGATGTGCTTTCTCAGGCCATGGCTTTGCGTGTAGGCTTTCGGACAGTGGGGACAGCAGAAAGGTTTCTCTCCTGTGTGCGTTCGCATGTGTTCCGCCAGGATATGAATTGTGCTAAAAGCCTTTTCACATTCGGAGCAAGTAAATGGCTTTGACTCGGCGTGAACACGCATATGCGTCTTGAGACCTGCGCTGCACTTAAAGGACTCGGGACAGTAGGCACAGTTTACAGACTGGATGTGTTGCGCAAAGACTCTTGGATTGTATGCATTTGGACAGTGGGGGCACTTAATTGGCAGGCAAGTTTTTTGTATGTGGGGAAGACTGCGGCAGCTTGTAATTTTGAGGGGCATTTGGGTGCTTTGAATGGACTCATCTTGTGTCACTTCGCTAGACGCATCGATTTCATTCGAAAAACTTTCGTTTAAAGTTTCTTCTTCCGCCTCCTCTTTTATGGTGATAATAAACTCCTCAGGACATTCTTCAACATTGTCGGTGGAAACTTCACTTTCCGATGTCTGGAAATCTTTTTCCTCACACATGTCATCATCAATGGGTTCGTTTTTGATTTCAACTGCTGAGTTTGGCCCACCCGTGAAGGCAATCAGATGTTTATCCTCTTCATTGATAGGGGTTTCATTCTCTAATTCTAGTATTTCATAGAAATCATCTTGTATCGCCTTTTCATAGTCATTTTCATTCACTTCCAACTCAAATTGGAATGTTATTTCGCTATTGGGCTCATCATTTAATTCAGTAACTTCTGCCGACTCTATTTTTATATTTCCATGATTTTGGAGACTATTCCCTATCGAATCCATTGCAGTTCCCACGTCCCTTGTTGCTTGCTCTTCTTTGTGGGATTCTGTTGAATAAATATAGTTGAAACTCAAGTAAACATTTAAAAATTGTTCTTACATTTCTCTCCTTTCCGAAAATTTATATATTTTGATTTTAATACAAAGGCTATGTGATTGTTTTCCCAGTCGATATTGCACTAATCGCCCTGTTCTTAGAACAGTGGGTGCTGTTAAGCGCATGTTAATATGAACTTTTAGTCCGTAAAAATTTAGCAATGGCTACATCTTTCACAAATATTATCCGATTCATTTGCGGAATACCTTAAACGATTCGTGGATCGATTCTCCATAAATCTGGATCAAAATCTGAGAACATAATTTTTTTCAGATTTTTTGTCAAATTTTCTGGAGGGTCCCCTTCGAAAATCCCAAAAAATGAATGGAGCCACTATATGGCATCTTGCAATTGCTATATCTTTCACAAAAATTAGCCGATTCATTTGCGGAATACCTTAAACGATTCGTGGATCGATTCTCCATAAATCTGGATCAAAATCTGAGAACATAATTTTTTTCAGATTTTTTGTCAAATTTTCTGGAGAGTCCCCTTCGAAAATCCCAAAAAATGCATGGAGCCACTATATGGCATCTTGCGATGGCTATATCTTTCACAAAAATTATCCGATTCATTTGCGGAATACCTTAAACGATTCGTGGATCGATTCTCCATAAATCTGGATCAAAATCTGAGAACATAATTTTTTTCAGATTTTTTGTCAAATTTTCTGGAGGGTCCCCTTCGAAAATCCCAAAAAATTAATGGAGCCACTATATGGCATCTTGCGATTGCTATATCTTTCACAAAAATTATCCGATTCATTTGCGGAATACCTTAAACGATTCGTGGATCGATTCTCCATAAATCTGGATCAAAATCTGAGAACATAATTTTTTTCAGATTTTTTGTCAAATTTTCTGGAGAGTCCCCTTCGAAAATCCCAAAAAATGCATGGAGCCACTATATGGCATCTTGCGATGGCTATATCTTTCACAAAAATTATCCGATTCATTTGCGGAATACCTTAAACGATTGGTGGATCGATTCTCCATAAATCTGGATCAAAATCGGAGAACATAATTTTTTTCAGATTTTTTGTCAAATTTTCTGGAGGGTCCCCTTCGAAAATCCCAAAAAATGCATGGAGCCACTATATGGCATCTTGCGATGGCTATATCTTTCACAAAAATTATCCGATTCATTTGCGGAATACCTTAAACGATTCGTGGATCGATTCTCCATAAATCTGGATCAAAATCTGAGAACATAATTTTTTTCAGATTTTTTGTCAAATTTTCTGGAGGGTCCCCTTCGAAAATCCCAAAAAATGAATGGAGCCACTATATGACATCTTGCGATGGCTATATCTTTCACAAAAATTAGCCGATTCATTTGCGGAATACCTTAAACGATTCGTGGATCGATTCTCCATAAATCTGGATCAAAATCTGAGAACATAATTTTTTTCAGATTTTTTGTCAAATTTTCTGGAGGGTCCCCTTCGAAAATCCCAAAAAATGCATGGAGCCACTATATGGCCTCTTGCGATGGCTATATCTTTCACAAAAATTATCCGATTCATTTGCGGAATACCTTAAACGATTCGTGGATCGATTCTCCATAAATCTGGATAAATCTCCATAAATCTGGATCAAAATCTGAGAACATAATTTTTTTCAGATTTTTTGTCAAATTTTCTGGAGGGTCCCCTTCGAAAATCCCAAAAAATGCATGGAGCCACTATATGGCATCTTGCGATGGCTATATCTTTCACAAAAATTATCCGATTCATTTGCGGAATACCTTAAACGATTCGTGGATCAATTTTCCATAAATCTGGATCAAAATCGGAGAACATAATTTTTTTCAGATTTTATGTCAAATTTTCTGGAGGGTCCCCTTCGAAAATCCCAAAAAATGCATGGAGCCACTATATGGCATCTTGCGATGGCTATATCTTTCACAAAAATTATCCGATTCATTTGCGGAATACCTTAAACGATTCGTGGATCGATTCTCCATAAATCTGGATCAAAATCTGAGAACATAATTTTTTTCAGATTTTTTGTCAAATTTTCTGGAGGGTCCCCTTCGAAAATCCCAAAAAATGAATGGAGCCACTATATGACATCTTGCGATTGCTATATCTTTCACAAAAATCATCCGATTCATTTGCGGAGTACCTTAAACGATTCGTGGATCGATTCTCCATAAATCTGGATCAAAATCTGAGAACATAATTTTTTTCAGATTTTTTGTCAAATTTTCTGGAGGGTCCCCTTCGAAAATCACAAAAAATGAATGGAGCCACTATATGGCATCTTGCGATGGCTATATCTTTCACAAAAATCATTCGATTCATTTGCGGAATACCTTAAACGGTTCGTAGATCGATTCTCCATAAATCTGGATCAAAATCTGAGAACATAATTTTTTTCAGATTTTTTGTCAAATTTTCTGGATGGTCCCCTTCGAAAATCCCAAAAAATATATATGGCATCTTGCGATGGCTATATCTTGCACAATCTAAATTAAATTCATACGTCTGGTAACTCCAAAATATATTGCTTAATATAAACTGTAACTCCAAAAAGTATGCTACATGTTGCACTTGTCTGCAAATGCTCCCATATTGGGGCCGCATGCATAACAAGACAATCCCCTATCCCTTTATTTCAGGAAAATTTCCATATATTTGTTAAAAAATATGTGATCGACGAATGTTATACCTTCCGAATCTTAAATCTTCATGTAGAACACTTCCAAATTAAAACTTGACCATCTAAAATCTGACCCGATTTTAGCCAATTTGTAAAGGGTAGCATTATGTGGGCCAAAAATCGGCCCAAAATTTTACTTTTCAATTAATAAGGAACTTTAATGCTGGTTGGAGGCAATAGGAACCCTCATTCGAGAAAGGAGTTTATATTAAAGTTACGATACGAAATGCTTTAATATGGATTAAAATGTGTCCCTAAAGTTACTATTTTGACCATCCAATGATCTTACTTCGTCAAGAGGCTGTCTCCATCCTTTATTCCAGGAAATGTTCCGTATTTGTGGAAATAATACCATACCATACTCCAACCAATAAGCCAAGAAGATTTGCTTATAATTGTAATATTTATTTTTTATTGTATGTTTGACTTTATAGATTTTAAATGTAAACTTAGATGACTATGCTCAAAGATGAATTCTCATGCTTATGTATATGGTACATATGACTACTGCGTTGTCTTAGGCTGCTATCTAGATGATACAATTATAACTAGAACAGTTGTGGTTGCTGCGGCTGTGGCTGCCGCCTCGATTTTAACGTTATATACATGCAACTTATGGTCTAACTGATTTCGGGCGTACGGTCTAGTTTGAAGATCTTTTGAAAGTGTTAGCATTGCGCGCAAAAATACAAATCTCTAAACAAAAGACTTAAGACACGAACTTAGGCGTACAATTATGGATGAATTGGATGCTAATTATGCTTTGGTTTATTTCCAGCACTGCATAACCTAAACGATATGAAACGAGTATGACTATGACGCAGTGATCCAGCGATTGCAGCGTTCCATGGCCAGTTAGTTCAGAGCGGAAAACATTGCCAGAAGCTGCCGCTGGGATTTGGGATTAGCTTAGGCTATAATTTACTCATAAATTTAAATACACAGTATTTACACAGTCGAGTAAATGCTTAACACTCTACGGGATTATAGGGCCGCCTAAACGGACACAATCTTGCTGGGATCCACCTTGACGCGGAGGAACACGGTGTCGCCCTTGATGAATGGCCGGCTATGGAGCAGCTCGTGGGAGATGAAGCGCGGGAAGCCGAAACCCAGCTGGTCGGGCTCATTCGAGGGTCGTTGGAAATTCTCCCAGGTGGGATCCGGTACAAAAGACTCCGCCACGCCGCCCTGCCCGCTCTGGGCACCCTGCTCGAACAGTGTGAAGGTGATCGAGTGCGAGAAGGGCCACTTCAGCAAGGCATCATATTCTCCCGGCAGAACTTTGATGTACACGGAGACGTGGGTGTTTTCGCCGGGTCCGTTGCCGTTGAGAAACATGGAGGCCTGTAGCTTGTAACCATATTGGGAGGTGTAGAAGGGCGGCGAGACCAGCTCCAAGCCATCCTTGCCTCTCGCCTCGGCCATCTTGGCAGACCAGTCGGTGATCTTCCATAGTAGAGTTCCGGTGTAGTTGATGGAAAGCTTGGACACTGCCGACTTGAGCATTTGGATCTGTTGACCCTGGCGTGAGCTGAGCGCCACCATCAGGGAAAGGTGGGCGGCAGCGTTGCTCTCGAGGTGGGCCTCCAGCATCTGTCGTGGTCCCTTGAATCGGCAGCCCGCTTCCTTAAAGCTGCAGGAAACCGCCAGGGACTGGCACTCATCCCTCAGATGGGCCTCCAATTCGCCTCGGGCAATGGGACCGGCGTCGCATCTCTGGGGACAGGCCAGAGGAGCCCTCGGGCACTGGGCTGCATGAAGGGGCAGTGTATCTGCGGAGAATTCTCGCTGGCAGTGGGCGCAGCGACGGAGTCGCTTGGCACAGTCCTTGGACTTGTGCATGGTCATCCTTCCTCGGAGCACCCGTTGGCCGCATTTGGCCTCGCAGTAGACCGGCTCTTGGCCGCAGCTGCCATTGTGCTCCTCGAGACCGGCGCCAGAGAATTCGCTCTGGCAGAACTCGCACCGAGTACGGCGCATCGTGCAGGTGTACTGCAGGTGATCGGTCATCATGATCCTGGGTATCTGGGCTCCACATTTGTTGGGACACTGTGTGGCATCGTGTTTACAAGTGTTCAGATGAGCCTTTAGCTTCCGAAGCTCATCGGACCACTTGCAGCCTTGTTTGTGGTGAATACAGAAAACCAGGGAGCCCATAATGTGTTTTGGATCGGGTCCGGGATAGATCTGCAAATGAATGGAAAAAATCCCAAATTAGAAAGTAAATTCAAAAGTTGAGAAGATAACTACATTATCTTAGGATGTAGGATGTAGGAATATTGTTTGCCAAAAACACATATAGGTTATTAGACTTTTCAAGTGCGGAAGTTAAATAGAAACTGATGGGCTTTGTGAGAAATCTATCCTTTTAAGGGATCTTTAGGTTTACTTTCCCAAGCTGATAAACAGGGGATATCAAAACAAATGCTTATCTCGCTATCCCAGCGACCTGTTGTTTATCCCAGACCATCACTGATATTGATTTTCCAGCTACCTGCCCAGGTGCCTGGCCCTTACCTCTCGTACCGATTTCTGCATTTTCCTCTTGAGTTTCCTCAGGCAAGCCGTCAAATGTTTTACACTCGACTGCTCATGTTCCTAGACACACCCTGACGGGCACTTCCTGTCCTACCTTCTAACGTTCTTTTTGGGCACTCTCCAGCCGCTTGACTGCCTTTTGCCCATCATTCCTCCGATCTTAAGAAGTGCTCCCGCTTCTGGTCGAGCTCCCCAGTTCTTCCTGCTGCACTTCTGGCTTCTGCTTTTAATTGCCGCAAACTAAGCATGGGAGAGGAGTGCGACTGCACATCCGGCCGATTAAAATAATAAATTGCGCTGTTGTGCGAAAATATTTATGACTTGCTCTCGACTTACTCTGACTTCTAATCAAATTAAAATGCCCCCATTGCGAGCCCTCATTTGGATATGACAATTTTCCGATATACTCATGAGGTTTGAAAAGCCATTAAAGTGACTCGGAGACAAACCAATTTTCGGGGGATAAAAGATAGATGTTGGCTGGGATCTGTAGAGCTGCTAACCGAGTGTCGCGACATTTCCGGTTGACTCGTTTAATTGACCTTATCTGCAGTTGCCGGGGCGCAGGGCTGGGCTCCAGAGCGTGGCTTGACTTTTGATAAATGAACATGTCGCTGCATCTGGCAATGGTCCCAGAGACAACTCGTAGAGGCGACATTAAAACGAAGATATAATAAGCAATTAACACATGAACAGGGAGGGGGATCAGCCCAGTTCACTTCGGTTCGGCGTGGATCCCATGATGGCATATGCCTCCGACACGCGGAATGGGCATAGTGGAGCATACATACATATATAAAATATTATTTCTATGGAATTGCCTTTTGCTGGTAATTTCATTTAACGTGAAACGAGTTTGGTGCTCTGTTTCTCTCCTCTGACATCTTTCGAGCGGCATTAAGTGGTGAACTGTGCCATCGCACATGAACTTTTGATGGGGCCATGGACTTCCAAGCTAGCCACCCACCCACAGGCCGAAAACTCGAGGAAGTAACTGCCACTCAATCGGAGATGCCGTAAACAAATTGCCGATGTTTACACAAATACCATATCATATAGTGGATGGTTTAATGAAGAACATGCAGCAGCATCCGACGAGATCAGAGATCAAAAGCTGTTTGTCAACCGGGCCCCAAATGTTTACGGGGAAACCAAACAATTAGGGGCAAGATGGGAAAGAGTTGGGGGGAAAACCCGGAGGAAGATTTTTTTTTAGTGGCAATTACTTGCCGGTCTGTTAGGGTTAATTTACTTTGACTTCCACATCTCCAGCCTCAGATTCAGCTTTAGCCATGGACCACACAAAGTTGAATTGGAGGTCGTTTGCCGGATTTCGTTGGATGATTATATAATTATGCGATCTTTTTACATTTTTTTTTTGTAGTTTAGGTGGGCAACTTTTGCTTTTTTCTTAACGACAAAGCATAGGGAAATAAAGAATATTATCCAACTGCTCGGAGAGTCATTGAGTTTGATTGGTTCTTATGTAAAGCCGCAGACAAAACCAATTGAAATTCCGATTCGAACACGAAAGCGTGGCCAAATTTCAGGCCGAGGTAATTAAAAAATAACATCTAAAAGCGGAAAGAAAGACCCAGACGGACAACAACTCCAAACAAAATCAATGCCCAGGCCAATGAAAGTGGAAACACAGAAAATATAAGGAGTGAACAACGCATTATTTATGAGTAACAGCAGTTGGCTCATTTTGTTTTATTTTTATGGGACGCAACGTCTCCCGGAGTGGCAATACCCCGTCCGGCTCCCGTCCATTCCTAGTGTGCCACTTGGGTGCACTTCGATGTTGCAGCAGCGGCCAAAGGCAGATCATAAAAATTAAGTTAGAAATAAGCAGGAAAACAATTTTATAATTTTAGACATCGAATCCATTCGATTCCGTGTAAGACATGTGCCTCCTACTTGGAAGCCCCCAACTTCTTTTCCAACAACAAGTTCCCCCAAAGTTCAAGGCGCTCATAGACCCAGAAGAATCAGTTCGATGTTTGAGCATGTTTTGGAAGATTTGTTACTCTTGGGGCTTTATTAATAGATAAATTGATTGTAAGGCACTTTAATTTGAAGGCTTGCAGTCCGTTGGGAGGGCTAATTTGTTGATTGTATGTCTGATTCCGAATGAGCTTGAAATATTTTCCCATGTTCACAGGAAAATTCAAATCAAGTTACAATAGTTAAAGGCTTCCAATTCTTGATTTTCCATATTTGTGATCAAAAGAAAACGAAGACAATCATAATGTTTTGTGCCACAAGAATGTTCCATTATTCTTCTGGAGCACGATCTCTCGGGTCGCTAACTGAATGATCAGCGAGTGGGCAGGGAACTTAGCACCTTCCATGTTCCATTATTGGTAGCGCTCTCCACTCGCCCCGGCTGGATACCCCGCGGGGCCAACTTCCGTTTGTTCAGTTAACACAGAATATTCCCAACCAAAATATGTTGACGCTCATTTGTTTAGTGCTTGGCATGGGTCTATTGTATGGAAAGTCCACCCCTCCCAAAGACACCCCTGGCATGCTTTTTATTTGGTACGTGAGCATCGGAATTAGCTTTTCATATTTCGAGTTTCGGGCTGTGTTTGTCCAAGAAATTCTCAGCATTCATATGGATACGCAATATCAACATTATAAGCTCTATGAAAACTGTGCTAAATGCTTCTGATATTTACCCGCAGCTGTAGCACTAATTAGATCGTTTCGTATATTAATTCTGGCTATTTGCCTAGGCCCAAAACTTCCCACAATCGTGGTGTACTGCAGGTTGCCAAAGTTTCGGATGTTGCTGCTGTTAGTACTTATTTCTACTGGTGTTGCTGCTGTGACCTAATAAGGTGCATCGATGCCGGATTCAATGAGAAGTGCATCGTTGGCGAATTTCTAACCAAAAAGAGGCATCGCGAAAGGAAACCAATGAAACAGCTGATGCGCAGTTTTCCGAGTTCCACAAAATACTCGGATAGTATGTAATTTCAGCAATAGCAGCAGCAACAGCAACATACAATCGCTGAATGCGAGCCAGACAGCTGCAAAATACAAGAAAAAAAACGAAAACAAAACATGGCCAAAGCCAGAAACTGGTTTTTTTTTCACCTGAGAAAGAGGGGACAAAGCAGCACAGAGCAGAGCAGCTGATTTCTAAACAGGTAACGACAGCAACAACACACCTGTACGCACACAAAGGCAACATCAACATCAACAGCAATAGCCATGTTAAATGCTATTTTCGAGGCGGTTAATCATGGTGATGAATTTGCATGCGTTTGCAACAAGAAATAGTTAAATTATGACTCTGATCCCGGGACTGATCGGAGTGTTCTAGTTTCTTGCTTCGAATGCGGCACAAACGGCAGCATTGTTGCCGAACTTCCATTCAGGTGCCAGCAGGTGAACTTTGGGGCAGCTGCTGCTGCTGTTGTTTCTTTTTTTCATGCGGGTCTGACCTTTTTTTGTATTTAGTCAGCAGCTGTTTGTCTGGTAAAAACGACAGGAAATGCAGCAGTTAGTAGTAGTAGCAGTGGGTTCGTCAGACTCTGGCCAACATTTTTGCAGTCATTAGCGAAAATACTTGGGCACCGGCAAGGTCCCCTCGCCAAAATAAAGGGCAGACTGCAGACTGGTAGAAATCAGTTGACTCAGCAATGATAATGTGTCATTAACAACAATATGTTAATTGACTGCTAATCGAAAGCGAAATGCTTATAGAATCAAGCTAAAGCACGTTCCCCATGCTCGTCGCAGAAAAGTATTGTATTCCATTTCACTTTAGATAAAAGCTGGCAAATCGATATTCTTTATAGTCTTGAAATTATCATGATCATCCCGTTGTGAGAAACTTAAGAAATCCCGATCACACCAGATCACACCATTTCCAGATCGGTGGGAATCGCTTCCCCAGACGGAAGTTCCCATCCCGCGACTTAACGGGTTGTAATTGTTGAATTCCCGGAATGCCAATCCCGGGAGGAGGCAGACGCCCCCGTTGGCTGTTGGTCGTGGCATGTTGCAAGTTGCAACTGGAACTGGTTAACTGGTTTACCTTTGGCCAAGGATGTTTTGTACTTTGCACCGCAGCAGCTGAAAAGTCGTTGGGCAACTTTTCCGACTGGCGAGCTAGTCTAAGACCAAAAACCAAAACAAGAAACTTGTTTTTGTTTTCGTTACTGATTTTTCGCAAATGGCAAAAATTCGATGCTGACTCTGCTGACTTACATAAGCCGTGAGCAGCGAGCCCCGAGTACCGTCACTTCGGTACTCATTTATTTATTTTATTACTCTTTTTTTTTTGTTTTTTAGCTTTTTTTAATTTCGACTAACGGTTGGGCCAAACATTTTAAGTGCTTTTCAACTTTGGCATTTGCAGCGGATGCGTTGCTGGCGCCTCCTCGCTTCTGGTCACGATTTTCCTTCGATGAAAACTGTGTCTCTTTTGTGTTTTTCTTTTTTTTTTCTTTACAACTTGTTGTAATTTATAAACCAGCGCCACTTGGTCGTGTCGTGTGGGTGTGGCTCGGCCTCCAATAAGTCCGCAAATGAATGCAGTCTTGTCTGCGGAATCCACTGACCAGGGAGAATGTCAAAAGCGAATTGCCAAAGAATGCCAGCGAGTTTGAACCACGGGAATTCTGATTTTAAATCCGCATTGAAAAGGATTTAATGACAGCGAAGAGTTTCGTTTTATGGAAATAGTTTTCCGTGGAAAAATCTTTCAATTTCCCAAATGAGCTGTTTGTTTATGCCTATCAATATTTTGCTCCCAAAAACCTTTTTTCCCAGCCGATTGTCGGCACTTCTATGCCTACATATGTGTGTACTTTTTCAGCCACGTTGTGCCCATGTGTTGTCGCCCAAGATTGTTGTCTGTCTTCATTTGTATCCCTAAAGATTGCCCCTGTCCCATCCCGACCTCAGCAGTTCAAGCGTGTCTACATCCTGTTTGCTCTCTGGATTTTTATTTCATTTTCTTTCAGGTTTTTTGTTTAATTTTTGTTTTTTTCACATTATTTCTATTTTCCAACCATGTGTTCGAGACTGCGCCAGCAATCTGTCGCACAGCTTTGGCAAATTGCTCTCAACTTGGCCATCAAAGCAGCAAGGGGGCCTAAATGCACTCGAACTACATTTTTTAGATTCGATGGCATATATGTATGTAGTATAGTTATTAGCCCGCTTATCGGGTGTGGAAATCCGGCTATCAGCCTCGGTCTCCCCACGCTCTACATATGGCTATTTGCTTTGGCGAACTGATTGATTGATAATGATAAGTGGCCGGCTAAGCCCTAATATCAGTATCTGCTCTCTGGGCCCGGTCTAGGGCCCAGTCAATTGGGTCAATGAGCTTTATCTGTGAATGGAATGCACTCAGATAGGGAACTTGGCGAGGCATTTATGATTGGGGAAATTACAATATAAAATGTATTTATTCCGCGGGTTTTGTTGTTAAATGTTTGCCCAGCTGGCCTGTCAAAACAGGAAGTCCCCCCATAACTACGAGGGGGACGGATACGCTTTATGATCTCCGCCTATTATCTATAAGAATATTCTTGATTTACGATTTGGAGAACCGTTTTTTCAAGTTTATTCATTTCAATAAAAAGTTTATCTATAGAACCTCTATATATTTTATTGAAAAGCTAACAAGAAAGGTTATATAAAAGAGAAAAAGCTAATAATAATGCAACACATTTATCAATGAAAAATCTCTTCCCCAAAAATCCAAAAATGTTTGATAAACTTACAATCTGTTCCAGCTCCGTGATGGGCATGTTGTTGTTGTTATTGCTACCCGGAGTGGGTGAGCTGTGGGAGGACGAGTGCGATGAGGACACCGTCGAGGAGGAGGAGCGCGATGTGGCACAGTTTCCGCCGCCACCGGACGTCTTGTTGCGGGGCGGAGTGGGTGGTGGCACCGGACTGGCCAAAGTGGAGCAGTCCTTGGAGTTGCGATTTGGCGAGAGACGCGAGGGGAAGCTCAGCGTCTTCGTCCACTGGGCCAGACTGCGAACCATATTGTTTATTTTTTTTGTTGTTGCTTCTATTGAAACTAATCCAAGAGTGTTTCAATGGGCAAGTCGAGGTCTTTATTGTTTATTTGTCTTTTTATTTTGCACTGTTCATGTGTTCATAGGCACAGCATCACAATGATCTTTAACGATTTCAAGACTTTGCGAAATTCGCACGGCGCACGCGCATCGTCTGTTCAAATATATTTTTCAATTTCAAACTTAAGCGCGCTGGCTGGGAACGAACCGTTCGCTTTGAAAACTCGAGAGCGATTGAAACTACGTAGCGACGGCAGCAACTTCGAAGCCGCTCGTCAACTCCCGAACTCACGCACACCAGCGGATATTGTATCTCACGGATGCGGCGCAGGGGTTGTGCAAGCGGGACAACACAGGCCGATCCGCTCTGCCAATGCAGTTTGCACTGAGAGAATTATAAAGCAGTTCTCGGGTTTTAAATGGAGTAGATTTTTAAGTAAATGTGAAGTTTATGAAGTTTTTCTCTAAGTGCAAGACTATAGGTACTGCAATACAAGCTGTTCATTCGAAGAGAGGTTTTTTAAAGACTGGAAACCCAGAGAGAGTAAAGATACAGATACAATATCTACCAGAGAGAGTTTTGTTGTTCAATTCTCAGCTTCAACCTGGTGGTTGAACCTACAAGATGCGGTTGAAAAGAGCCAGCCAAAGGTGGATTGGGTAAAATAATGAAATTCACATACAATGTAAATATAAAGAATTACTCTCTAGTATAAAAAATCCATAAAATAACAATTAAAAGTAACTCAGAATGAGACAAATTGTTATCCGCAATTTACACTACTTTCCCATTAATTCAACCACTTTCAATGCAATATATTTCTGCAAATAATTTCCACGGACATTAAGCATTTGACTTTCCCCGCCAGCATTTCCGCTCAATTTGGCAACAGGACATTGTTGTAATTGCTATATTTATCCCAAACCCTGCTCTAATGATGCCAACAAGCCGCCATGGCCAAGTGCAATTAACCAAAGGGCCTTAACATCTGTTGTCCAGGAGGTGCCATGGCCAGAGGGTCTTTAGGGGGATGTTGATTATGACCCATTCCCAACGCACTTCCGTTGGCCGCATACCAAAGAAAGCCCACGCAAACACACACAGCCCCAGGAGCCCACTCACCGATACCCATTCACTCACACACACTCAGGCATCTTAAAAAACCGGCAACAACGGCCTTGCCAAGGTTGACTGAGCATGTTGCCGAAAAAAAAAGAGCCATAAAACCAAGAGGCAGCAAGAAAAGTGGCTGCCGCTTCTTTTTCTGGCCAAGCGACGAGAGCAAAGCTGGAGAAAAAGAGACTCCCGGCTCAGATGCTCTCCCTGGCAGCTCCGTTAATGGCCAGAAAGCCAGAAAGCGGCTTAGAAGCTCAGCCAGCATGAGCAATGGGAAATGAGTTCATTCAGCTTTGGCTTCAATTCCAGCTTGGCGAACGGAAGAGTTTCTCCAGGGTGCCCTGATAGCAATAAGATTAAAACTATTTTTATAATTTTAAAAAAACAGGATGTTTTAGTTTAAGACCCTTAATTAGTGCCGCCATCCCCTACCCTTCTATTATGACCATGTTTTCCTATGTTAATTCCAGTTTACCGCCAAAAATTCATCGGCATTTTGCCAACACATGTCGGCCATGACAGTTGCAGATGCTTTGGTTCGGAGTCCTGATTTTCTCTGCCTGGCCAATAAGTTCGCCTCTGGCTGCCACATGTCCTTGCCAGATCCTGTTCTGGGCCTTTGTTCTCCGGCCGAGGAAATGATTCGCAGTTCGATGGCAAAAGACAGCAGCTGCATTCGGCAGGGATCGAACAATAGCCTGCTTATTGACAGTTTTTCAAAGGTGTCGCACAAAAAGGATCCCAATCGTGGCTAAAGGATCCTCTATCCTTGATGTTTAACAATTTGCCAGTTTTTGTGTGCCGATTTCCGGACAAATGTGTCATGGTGCCAAAGGAATTTGGGTTCTTTTGTATCAAATTTTTTTATTTTATTGAAATTCTCATAAGCATATGATTTTTTAGGTCTTCTATTTCGGATTAGCAGAATATAACTTTAAAGATCTGTAAAAAAATACCTTATTGTTTCAGATTTGGCATTAAGTTACTGTAAAGTAATACATTTAATTTAAGAATAAAATGGAACTGAAATATTGTATAATTTCTTTGATCTTGAGCCACCGCTTGTAAAGCCCCACATATCATAAAACTCATAATGATATAATCTTAAAAAACGAAAGGTTTCCCATCCCAAGATATTCCCAAGGTAAAGTTATATCTCTTTACATCCGCTGCTTAGCCAGCCCACAAATCCAACCGAAATTAGCCTAATTAATAGTTCAAGATCAGAGAAAATTCGACGATGATGTAACTTGTATGTGAAATTAACTTTCGACAGGGAGAGGTTTTTTTTATAAATTTTTTTAAGAGGAAGGAAGGCGTGCGCCTGACCATTAATCTTGCATCAACATTTCAAGTTTGTACAAGAAATCATAACAAGCAGATCAAATATTTGGGGTCGTTTGCTGATAACTCGAGTTTCCTTATCAAGGTTTGAAAGGAAAACGGAGGCAGGGCTTCAAACTGAGTACCCACAATCAGTCTGTCAATCACTGGGACCCACATGGGAGAATCTGAGACAAAGATCTCAATTCTAGGCTGTTTCTTTTAAATAATAGACCATTGATTTGCATTTGGATGGGCTGTTTGGGGACTATTATTGTTTCCATTGGGTCTGACCAATATTCGTGGGTCCCAGCTCTTTTTATCTGGCCCTGATTTCGGATGAAAAAAACGTTTTCGCTTCTTATCTAAATTCCTGAAAATTCAGTTGTTATTTCTACTGATGCTGCCACCGATGCTGCCATCGTGCACATAAACGGGGCCTTTTGTTTTGTAAGCAAACAGTTTTTTGTTTTACAAATCAACACCTCGGGTATCAATTACCCAGAGGGAGATAGACGTATATATGTAGCTGGGAAGCGAGAGCATTGGATGGGCATGAATCACGCCGTGGACTCGGGGTCTTGGCCCAAAACAGAGATCCGCTTAGCCTCGCTTTATCTCCGGCAATTAAAGTGTGACCGACCCTCGTCCACTGGCCGTCCAGTGTCCGTTTAGTGCCAAATGTAAATCCTCTGTGCTCTGCTATTTATTTATGATCTTTTATGATTTCCCAACAATAAGCTGCCTGGCCAACCGCACACGCCGAGCCCGCAGTCGTCTCAGTCGTATACCTTTTCCCATTTCTATTTTTTTCCTTTAGCTGCATTAGTTGCGGATGGTTAGCTGTGCAAAAAAATTAACAATATCTTTCTCTTTCTCTGATGTACTTGATGTATACACTTCCAGGAATAGAGACCAAGACGGTTCTTCTGATAAAGTAGCAAGATTTATGGACCAAGCAATTGTAATTATATAGGCCGAAGTTCCTTTGAAGTATTTATCTTTTGTTCTAAATTTTATATAGCTATAGTTGAATTAATTTCTTACTATATCATATATATTAAATATATCCTTTAGATATACTCATTTAAAGCCATAAATATACCGCGTGTCAAGCCATTTTCTACTTCCTTTTTTCTCATTAGTAGCCAAGTTATTGGCCTCTGTATACTGATCCCTCATTAGAGTGTAAACTGGGCCCATTCTCCTGGCTCTATCCGATCTCAAATGACCCATAAGAGACCGCAGCAGACACCTGCCACAATCCCGCACAACTTCATTAGAATTAGCGCCTTGCGTTCCTTTCTTCGTGTGTTTTTGGTGGAAGGAAACAAAAATGTAAATATTTTGGTAACCCAAGGAAAAACTAATATGAAAAGCATTTATGTAGGTTTTGGGTGCCTGATCGAGGAAATTATGCAACGGAAACAGGTGCCGCTGCGATCGATACCAAGTGCCACTCATTAAATGTACACACGCGTAGTTTTTTGCTGCCGGCGCGGGAAAATGCCTGAGGTTTGAGGGAAAAATGGATAGCATAGCTCCTACGGTGGCAGTGACTCAAAGGCCGTTCACTTGCCCGAAATTCTCTGAGGCGTTCTGACTAATCGCCCATGACTCAGAGTCTGGCTTCCATTGCCATGCAACCTGTCAGCCATTACAGAATGTTACACATTTATTACCCGAACCCGGGCGACAACTCCAAATAGTCGAGAGATAGAGGTTGCAGTGGTTGCAGTGAAAACTAGCTCGGCCTAATCAAAGTTTAGACACGTCCACCGTCAGAGTGTGGGAAAATTCCAGCTCAACCGGAGGCGTCTGCTTTGGGTGGCTTTTCCAAAGCCATTTTCCTTGAAATTGCGAAAAAAAAACAATTTTCACCCCAGAGCAATTTCGCTATTTTGCTTCGCTTGCTTGCCAGCAACTTCTTCATTCAGTTTGCAACACTTTCACCTGCTGATTTGGCACGTAAATAGGCTGATAAAAGCATCTCACAAAAAGATACAATGCTTAATCTTTGTTTTCTTTTTTGTTATTGTTTTGAATACTAAATAATCACCCAGAGATATATTAAGACAGCTTCGGTTGGGTTCTGCCCACAGTTGACAACTTGGACCGTGTTCGTTGACCTCAATCGAGGTCTCTGTTTTCCAAACAGATTTTGGTTTTTTGCCAGCCGAATTCACTTTCAGTTCAGGTCTCTCCGAGCTTGGCTCACTTTTGATTAAGTTGTGTCATGCAACGTTGATTTAATTATCATCAGTAGTTGCCGAGACAACTGCCAACATCCATTGTGCCTCAAACAAAAAACTAATGAGGAAATGCTGTGAATTTTGTTGTCTCTTTTGGCCAAAAGCCGAGGAAAGCCGCTGTAGAAAGTTGTTTTTTTTATATCTGGGGGAGAAGGTGGAAGTACTCAAGTTTATGCCAGATCTATTTGCGATAAACTTGTCTATAATCGAATTATTCTTAAACCTGAATCGGGGTCATTTTTGGAGAAATGTGAAGGTGCCATTTACTCACTTTTATACAGTCTTTTTCTCATAAGTATGACAAACCAATCAGCCTTAATAGACTTATCCATAGGTCATAAAATACCATGAGTAGGGTTTGCCAGTTTTGGCATTACAACTTCTGTTCCAGCACCCTTCATTTGAATGCCCTTTGAGACGACCTGCCGGCACACATGCCACACAGGATTTGCCCAGAAGAAAATGTGTGCAAAACATGCATCCAGGATGCCAGGACTTTCCGTGCTGGGCCAAGATAAAGTCAAGTGCGTCCTCCCCGGAGACAATCTAATTCCA